CAATATGAAGGAGAAAGGAAATTCTACTCACAATACAAGGATAGATTTTTTATGATACACAAAACATATTTATGATGAACTTAGAGCATAATTTTTTGTGCAGAAACAACAAAATCAGTGAATTTACTGGAAAAGCCCACTCTCTGTATGATTATTTTCCCAAATCCTCATGCATATTAGCAGATACAGTAATGGCACAGTACTTTCTCAGATTTCATTCCCCAGACTAAACGTTAAAAATTTTAATTGATAAATAATAAGAAAACACATATTTTCTGTTTCACAACATTTAAATGCAAATTCATTCAGTCATTCAGAGTGGTTTGATGTGAAATTAGCAATTTTAGATAAACTTACTAACTCAGATTTCTTTACAGTGGTGGTGACAGGAACCAGGGTCACAGTGCTTTACAACACAAATATATCCATTTTATTTACTATCCATATTATTTCCAAAACCACCAGTGAATCTACATATTTATGAATTTTACATGTTATTCTGATTATAGCAAAATAGCACTAATTTTAAAAAGTATTTATTTATTTTTTGGGACTATTTTTTCCTTTCAACACCCTGGATGTATCACTCCACCAGTAATATTTTTTTAGAAATACATTTTAGACCAAAATTGTGTCTCACAACTGTTGTAGAACAATGTGTCAGACATCAGGCAACGTATTCACAACCATACCTTTCATAATTTTCGGTATGGAAGCTTTTAGAGACATTTAACACACTGAATGTCTGGTTCCTATCACCACCACTGTGAACAGTTCTGTATGTTTCTCTAAAATAGAGTCATTCACAACAAACCACTCTGAATGACTGTTTACATCTTAACCAATTATTCAGATTTGTTGAAAATCGGTAGAATTCTCCTTTAATCTATTCCTCAAAAAAATAAATTATAGGAATTAAAACTTTTGTTTTGACAAAAAACTGCGCTGTAAAAATTGAGAGGTCAGCTCAACTTAAAATGATATAGTAAACATGGCTTTTCTTGAGTTGACTCAACTTGAGTTCACACAACTCAAACTTTTTAGTTGAGTCAAAAATTCTCCCAGCTATTGTTTTCTAGGTCTGCATCTTGGTTAGATAAGCAAAATCAAAAATGCTTTACTCAATCTCCCCACTAATTGGCACTTCTTCTACCCTCAGACCAACCTGGCGTATTTTCCTCATGGGCTTCTGGATATGGACAGCTATGGTATTGCTAGGATTCAAACTCCTGAGATTGGGATGAATTATTTGACAGTTGCACCACATGAGATGGTTGCTTCAGATGTTCTTGATTGGTGTGGTGTACTAAGCCATCACCCCAGCAATGCTATAGCTCTCTGTAAGTGCGCACCTAAGAGGAAAAATGTCTAGCATTATTGTTTGATGGAAAGAGCCCTGGCTTGTTGGAAAATTGAGTATAAAATACAAATAGTCTTTATTTACCTATCTGAGATGCAGGGAACTTTTGGCTCAACTAAGAAGTTTGAGTTGTATGAACGCTTGTGTCCTTAAGTTGAGTCAACTCAAGAAAAAACATGTAATCAGTTATTATGTCATTCTATGTTGAGCTGACCTCTCATTTTTAACAGTGTGGTAACTTACCACTACATGTGTTGAAACACTTACATACTTACATATTCCAAAGAGAGAGTTTTGCAGACAGACTGTAGAGTTCAAACTGTATAATGATCACTCAGAGTTCTGCTCTTATGAACAGCACCCTGATAATGTAATAGTTCCATCTTTATGATGTCATAATTGCTATGGTTTGTGCAACATCATCATTCTGACTCATCTCCGGACTACACACAATTCCTATTGGGACAATTTTAACTGTTTACCTGGATCTTTACTGATGATCATTGCTAGCGATCTTACATGAGTATGGCTGCGTGGCTGGATAATACCGTACTAAAAGCAGTATGACTGATCGCCGGTCTGTCAAAACAGCCGAGATAGCAGGCAGGTTGCTTCTAGCCGTACTTTCTCCTGACAGTAACACCGTACAAACCACCCCCACAACCTGAAACAGAATTACACAAATAAACGCATACACGCTTTAGACTAACAACAACTTATTTACAATAAATGTCTCTCCTACCGTGAATGTGGTGCTTCCCAAAAGCCTCCTCACACAGCCACTCTGTATGGCCTCATGTGCTCCTCCTGTGCTCCCATGGCAGCACAAGCCAGTATGGTGACGCTTTAGTACATAGAAAATACTGCCCTTAAAATAAATACACAAGTCAGGACTTGTTTAGATACCATAGATAATCAGTAATGCACATCTTATCCTCGTTTAATGCTACGTTACTTTATGAAGACGCACTGCCAGAATTACCACTGACACATCTGTTAATTTACAAATGAGAATTCCCGGCATGTTTTACTCTTTGTGTGATGTGAGGCTCTGGCAGTGATTAATTCATTGGAGTACATTAGATTTTCTACAATGGTTGGTCTCACCATAGTCACACATACACCAATCACACATACACACTCAGTTGATTAACCAATACATTTCGGATTGGCAGATTTAACTGGCACTGTACTTAAAATGGCCCCCACCTGTTTCAAAAGGAACCTTCTGAATGTGTCTTTTGGTCTTATTAAGGAAAATTCATTAATTCCTATCATTTAAAAGACAAACTTTGTTTTCCAGTAATCTTCCATTAAAGTGTACTGACTTTTGCCTGACTTTAAAACATCAGATTTTTCATCGCATCACCACGTACGAGTGGGTGGGGGAAAAAACTCGAGCAGCACTGCTGTGTCTGATCCACTCATACCAGCGCAACACACACCAAAACACCACCATCACGTCAGTGTCACTGCAGTGCTGAGAATGATCCACCACCCAAATAATACCTACTCTGTGGTGGTCCTGTGGGGTTCCTGACCGTTGAAGGTCATGGTGAAAGGAGGCTAACAAAGTATGAAGAGAAACAGATGGACTACAGTCTGTAATTGTAGAACTGCTCCTATATGGTAAGTGGATCTGATAAAATGGACAATGAGTGTAGAAACAAGATATGTGTGCTTAATTAAATCTTAAGGGACCGCTCCACATTTAAATTTTAACCAGTAACGTTTGATTGGCTTACCACTTGGTGCTTGGTGAGGTGCCTGAATAGAAACCTGTTTAAAAAACTACTACTACTACTACTAATAATGATAATAATAATAAGAAAACAAATAAAAATTTAGAGAAACAATCCTGTTTTGAAAATGTAATGAATCCAAGTGAAAGGTATTAACCCCTCAAATGGCCAGTTTTACTACACACTTCTATTACCTAAGAATAGCTCAGCCAGTTTGCATTAAAGTCCCTGTAGTTACTGAATAATAGGCCTTAGTATGTAATAAGCCTGGGATTTTAAGCAGTTAAATGACAGAAATACTCAAGTAAAGTTTCTCGAGTGAAAACATTTAGCTAGGTCAGAGACATTCCCTCATACGTTATTTCACTCAGAAATACATCACAGTATGGAAAGAAAATGTGTTATAATTTCTGACATACTGTCTTTAACACTATTGACTGTAATGGTACTGACTGTACAGCAATGCTCTTTAACAATGTTGTGCAAATGTCTGAGTTACTGGACCTAACTGGCTAACAATTAGCATGCTAATGCTAAGCATTTGTTTTCACCTGGTCCCTGAAGGGTAAAGGGAAAAGCAGCACCCACTGCTGGTCAGACCAAACATAGCATTCTAATTGTTAGCCACTAAGTTCCCCAGTGAAACTTACAGCCGCACCTTGCAGGCCAAAGCTGGTGTAACATACAAAGCGTGCATTTTTTTTTCCCATACGTTACCCATCTGGCACAACTGTGGGGAAAAAAAAGTAAGGTAGAAATTTTTTTGAGGCTTTTGATAGCTGGAATTGTAAGTGATGCTAGAAATATTTTTTTTCAGCTGTTATTGGTCTATTATATAAAAACAAATTAAGTGAAACTCAGGAACGCAGTGTATGTATGTTTTATTCTTCTCCCAATTACATCTGTTTGAACATCATGTATGATGGCTAATATTTGATTTAAGTAGTTATCTTTCAGTTTGATGTGATTTATGACAATATTATATTTTACAATATAAATATTGAGTATTGTAATTAAGGCAACTGAGGAAGGGAATGGACACTGCAGCATCACAGGACATCTGTAGGAATCCTCAGGAAGAAGATACAAATCCACATAAAAAACTTTCAGGAATGCATACATACAAGTTTCTTGTAGGGTTGTTTTTGTAAAGGATCACACAAACCATTAGAAATTATACAAAACACTGCTGTTAACACTGGCAGCACAGCATGCTTTTCCCACAAAGTGAAAATGGCATAGGCCTAAAAACACAAATGCAGTCCTTGCTCAAATCCTTCCTCTACATGCATCATAAACAGACATGTACACATGGATTAAGGATCGTTGACTCGAATACACAAAACACATCACACTGTTTATCAGTAGAACAATCTCATTCAAAAACTAAAGCTCTAAAAAGTTTTATAAGGTAATATCTATACATATTATTTACACAGAATCAATAAGAGTACTGAGAGCAGGTCCTTAAAAACCTTCACCAGGAATTGTAGAAGTTGCTGCAGAAAGCAGTTTGCACATTTCAAACACAAAGTAAAACTGGACATCCACAATAGTTTAATTTCTGGACTGTGTTGTAGGGATGGGCATTTGAACCATTTTTGCTGTTTGAATATCTTCATTTTTAAACAAACAGTATTTAAATACCCTATTGAGAAAGTATTTTATATCCTTATGTATAGAAAACAAAGAAGGTTTAACACTCATCACTGTTTTATCTACTGACTGATCTTTGTGCTGTAGGTTTACCAGATTAATAGGGAGTATTAATAGGGAGTTTGTCCTTCTTTTGATGCAGTAACAGCCTCTACTCTTGGGGCGAAGACCTTATGCTAGATGTTGGAACATTGCTGTGAGGATTCGATTGCATTCAGCTACAGGAGCATTAGTGAGGTCAGGTGCTGAAGCTGGATGATTAGTTCTGGATCACAAACACCTCTCCAACTCATCCCAAAGGTATTGGTGCACCACCACTCCAGAGAACACAGTTCCTCTGCTCCACAGCCTAATGCTGGAGGGCTTTGTATTCCTTTAGCTGATGTTTGGCATTGCACATGGTGACAGACTCAGAAACAAAAACATGATAGTGTTTTTCTATTGATATCATACAATTGAATGCAACTGCACAATTGAGTCTGCAACTGGTGCACCTTTCAGTAGCTGAGTTCACTAATTAGAAAGGGGTGTCTGGACACTTCTGGATGCAAAAGTTTGAACATCTTCCGTGAAATGGCATGTTTTGTTGATGAGATTTATTTTAAGATATTGGATAAAATTAATAAAATAAACATTTTATGTGAAACCCTATCAGCTGCGTGTGTGATTCAAAAACATATTTGAAAGTGAAAAGATGGCCTAATATATGATTTAATTGTTGTGTACCAACCTACAGATGCCATAGTCCAATTGCTCATTAGGTAAAAAATACTGAAGTGGAGTTTGGACCTCCACATATTTGTATAACCACACCCATCCCTCTTCAGATCGGAAATTAAACTGTTGTTTTGTTTTTATTGACATGAATACTTTTGTTTCCTGAGAGCTGAGAATGTATGACGTGTGAAACAGTCAAAGTCCATTTAAAGTGTCCACAGTTCGGCTCCATCACAGGGGTTCCCTAAGGCCGTGCTTTCTCTCCATGTAGCTCCCAATCTTCTCTCCTCATGGACCTGGATAAGAAACCTTGTCTTGCTCCCCTGCTTCAGTCTTTCAGTATAGGGTGGATACACTGAATCTTTCAGGCCAGCCCAGATGACTTATAGCAGATCCAAGCAGATTTTAGCTATTGCCACCATGTACAGTCTGTTAGATGGGTTCAGGTTTTTGCTGGTCATACATGGTTCCTCTCCTCCCCGGTTAGAAGCAGCATTCTCTGTGCACCCCTCACACACTTGAGTCCATGTGCCTTCACCAGCTCATTTCAACTCAAGCGTCCTTGCTTTTATCCTTACATTTCTGAGCCCTTCTTTGTAGTAAGCAGCGAAATGAAGAGATATTTTTGCAAGGAGGCTCAAAGGACAACTTTCTGTATGAAAACTCAGTATATTAAATAGAAAAAATACAAAATTGAGAGGGGAAAAAGCAAATGTTAGTTGCAAATATGTATATCAATATGTACAGATTCCATGCTTCTGGTTGGTCATCACTGAAAGAGAGCAAGAGGAGAGAATGTTGTAAAATGAATGACAATAATCAGAAGGATTATGATAAGGCATGACTCATACACTGAGTGGACAGTTTTTTAGAAATACCTTCTTAGAAATACATACCATATAGGCACGCTTTGTAGGTTTTCAATTGCAGATTATTATAGATGGGTGTAGTAGCCAAAAATTAAACTCAAGTATCTGTCTTGTTGCTTTAAAGCCCCTGTAAAACATGGTTTAAAATGTTCAGCTTTTTTGCTTTAATAGTAAAGCTATGTTGCAGAAAAAATGTGTTATAGTTAAGAAATATACATAAATTAATACAATTTAATGATAGATAAATACCATAACTGTGTGGGCGTGTCAGAACACAAGTGACTGACAGTGGCGTCTCCCAGGCAATGTTAACAACGATGGTGTAATAAACCTTTGTAACAAGCACAATTAAGAAGCTTAGAAAAACTCAAATAATCTGCTTGCTGGGAGTTTTGGCTGGGACAGCAGTCACTTTATGTGAGAGAGAGGATCAAATTATAGTTCCTTAACAAGCAGCTCGTTTCTATGTCAGAGTAACGAATGAGCTCCGCTCACTCGCTGCACAGTCTGCTGTAAACCTCGCCTTTTGATGTACGGACTGAGACATAAAACTGCTGCAATATCAAGTTTAGCTCAGTGTTGTCAATTTTTGCTAGATCAATATTAATGTTGTTTTGTTCCAGCCAGTCTGTAAAGCATCTTACAGCCCATTTTGTTTGGCGAATGGTATTCGGTTAATTTCTGGCTAATTCCAGGTTGTTCAGGTGTTTTTCTGTCACAGCAGTTTGGGAATTTACTGTAGTCTCATCTTCAGAGTCTGACCAAATTGGCTGTCGCTCAAATGTAATCTTAAAAGTATTCATTTTCTGTTTGTGGCAAATTAAGAAGTAAAAATGTTCAAATGGCTTGAGTGTCTCCTACAGCTGTCAAAGTCGTTGCTTAGCAACGGTGTCTCAGCGGAGTGATATAGTGTTTGTGAAAAACCCGTGATGTTATGATGAAATAACAGTATGGTTAGAACCCCTCTTAACCAATCAGCTTACATGGCTGGAACTAACTGTTGTGTAAATACATATATCTAACTCTACTTGTTACATTGGCAGATCTGATGTCCCCTGTGCCCAATGTAGTCCCACCAACTCAAATCAAACTGAAGAAAACGGTCATTTTCAAGTCATTTTTAAAATCTCTCAGAAAAAGACCAACAGCATTCTCTCTCTGCCAGTTCACTGTAAAACATCACAAAAACTATAGATAAAAGTTAGAAGACAGTCATGAAAATGAGCAGACAGGGGCTTTAATAATAATTATTTAAGTAGAAGTAGAAGTAGAAGTGGTAAGTAATCACTTGAGGAAGAACATAAGTGTATCTAGTGAAAAGATTATTCATGTGGTGAGTTATTTCACAGGATAAAAATACGTATGCAAAAAAAAAAATAAATTCAAAGGCAACAACCAAATTTTAACAGTATAACTGGCTACTCAGTAATAACAACAATATAAGACACCGACTAACACACACAAACAGATGATGTGTTCCTGTCTTTAGCAAATATAATAAACCAGGGCACTTTTCAATTTACCGGGGCGATACCCCACCACTTTTTGAGTTCAGTTAGCTTGTGTCAAAAAAAAAACACTGGTCTCCATAACCTGCACTATGCAGCCCCGAAGGGGAAGGAAAGTAAATCTAAAAATTAATTTAGTGAACGTTTTGCTATTTCTATGCATGTTTTCCTTTTGCTACCACACTGAGTGAAATTTACTAAATGTCAGTTTCTATCTTTCTCACTGCTACTGCACTAAACTAAGACTTAATGTTTGTTATCTGAGCTGAACCCAATGAAGCACACAGGTCAAAACATGAGCCCTACACACACTCAAAACCCAGGACATTATCAGGATACTTTGACAAAGTTTGAGCTTCACTTCGTTCACACATGCAGGCCTCAAACAGAATTTTATTGGGGCACATACATTTATACTCAGCAGCTCTTTCATTTCTGAATCATGTGTGAAATTCTCTCCTGCAACTTTTTTCTCCCATGAAAAATGAAATACTGCCCATAAAAACACAAATGTTCTGGTTTGCTTTTGCACAGAAGCAGCTGTGCACGCATGCAGGGTGGATTTCTAACACTACTCTGTACAATAATGTAACATTTTCACTCTGAAAACTAAACTAAAAAACAAAACTAAACAAATGTGTCACAGGATTGTTCTGTATTCATGGCTGTAATGTAGACGTCTTTGTATTTTCTGGTAATGTATCAGCTTCCGGTTTCACACATGAGCTCTCCTTGTTTCTGGGTGTTGTACAGGGTACCTGGATTTTGACTCCAGCTTGTGTTGATGCGTAACCCCTTCCTGCTTTGAAGTTCCCAGGTGAAAGGGCATGTGTTAAAGGGTCTTTAAAACATGCCACTTTTTATGAATAGGTTTACTAGTTTATCGGGACATGTTATTATATTGTCACCATGACATATGCTACAGTTATATACAAAGGTTTGGGAACCCCTGGTCAAAATACGTGTTTTATATTTTTTTCCAATTTGTGAAAATCAGTGAATACATAGTAATTGTACACTAAACGTTGCCATATTTAAGTTTGTTCACTTCAGAGGACGTGTTAACTTGTTTTCATGCAGAAAATCAACAAAACATATACTTTGACAAGCAGTGATGTAGTGCAGACAAAGTTTTTTTTTTTTATCAGAATCAAAATCACTTTATTTCACCAAGTATGTTACACATACAAGGAATTTGTCATGGTGAGCGCACACACGGAAACAGTAACTTTTGCCCCACCATTTTTGGAGGTGTGGAGTCACCTCTAAACCAGGTGTTCCCAAACTTTCAGAACTCTTAGCCCACACGACCACCCACAAAAGCTTTCTTGGCTAGACCATTTGTTTCAAATGCAAGCAACATTTTTTTTGTAGCCATTTATCCATAATGGTTTAATTCTATATGATCAAAAAGAGAAGCATTTCACAAAGCACTGATTACATAAACATATCTAGCTAGCCATGCTGGTCATGGTCATGCATTTTGCATTTTGCAAGATCAAGCACTCAATTTGGCCCAAATATTTAGGCATTGTGGAAGATTTCCTTCAAGATTTATGAACATGGTTGGAAAAATAGTAATTTCACTTTCAATGGTTGTTGTCATTTTATAGGTACATTCACTATACTGTGTTTCTCGGCCCTCCCTGTGTATGTGCAGCCTTCTCTGTATGTGCAAACTGTGAGACCCTGAAGGGTAGACTGGAAGTCTGGAATATGCTGGAGGGCTACATGCACTTAATTATCCGATAATTGCAGAAAATCAGATTTTGTCAGTAATCTGATTAATGCATTTACATGCAATGGGGAAACTCCGGGTCTACATGAGTCATGCAGTAATCAGATTTCTGTTTTACAACTGGCCAATAAACATACAGAAGAAGACGTGACATGGGTCTTTACATCGCTTTATCTGAAACTATGAAAATACATAATCCTTTAATTAATCAAGAATGTAGTTGGTTTCAACGTCGCTCCAAAAGTGTTCTACTGCCACCTCGTGGTAACAGTGCTTGCTTTTTTCTGGTACAGCGGTCTGTTTTCGCACATACGCAGACTGAGAAATCCTAACGAAAGAGTTTATATGCATTGAGAAATCTGATTACTGAGCTAAAATACAGCTCTCTTTATCACATTTCTTAACTGGAGTTCCAGACCTTACTCCAATCTAAAAAATCAGCGTGTGCTGTTTACATGACCATTTGAATAATCAGATAACTACAGAAATCCCATTATAATTGGAATATTAAGTGCATGTACACACAATCATTGTGTTTCTACCAATGTTCAGCATTTATGTTCATGTTTTTGTGAAACCATAATCCTTAAATAAATGACCCTGTTTTTTGCTGCTCCTGGTGTTCATAATGCTTTATTTTTGAATTAGAAGTAAGCCGTTTTCCACTACAGTATTTTTAATGTTTTATTTTTCCAAATAATTATCACAACAGATATATATCTCATATTTAACATGATAAGTTTGGTAAAATGTCTACATATTGCAATTATGCTTTGTGATTTAAAAAGATAAATAAAAAAACTGACAATGTCCCCTTGATAGTACCACCATGGCCCACTGGGGGGCTGCAGCCTACAGGTTGAAAATCGCTGTTAAAGACCACAGGACAGGGAATTGCAGGAGATCATTTAATAGCATGCGCTTTTATTTTTCTGTTCAACAAGCAACATTTGTGCCATGTTTCACAAGAGCCAGAGCAAAAATATGTTGTTATAAATATGATTATAGCTCATTTTCAGTATCCAAAACCTCCAAACTTCAGATGTTAATGTATTTAAGGGAGCTCAAGTCTCTTTCGTGGGAGCTAGGCGCTTCCTGGCTCAATGTAATTCAAACAGTATTGTGACTGTTTGTTTTGGTTTCTATGGAATTTGTGGTCGCTCTGTTATGCTTTACTTTCATAATGAAAATTCAATCCAACTGATAGTTCACTGTATGTATGTGACTGGCTGTGTTTCGTTGGTAAAACAGAGTCATCACCCATCTCTGCTGATTATGTAGCCCTTCTGTTGCTCCACAATTTATCTGCCAACTACTGCTCACAATAATTTTTGGATGGTGGTCTCACAGTGGTGAATGGGATGAGAAGAAGGCTAATAAATTGTTCAGCAACAGACGGGCTATAGTCAGCAACTGTAAACCTACAAAGTGCACCTATATGGTAGGTGAATCTGATAAAATGACTGAATGAGTGCGTCCACAAGATAGGTGTTTCTAAAAACTGGTAAAGTATGTCAGAAAGTTTCAATTATAGCTTACAAACCTTGTGCCAGCATCCTGGCATTGGTAGTCCATCTCGGTCCTAGGAACGGAAAGAGGAGAAAGAGGTGAATGTTACTTTTAAGATGGATTGTGATGAAGAAAGGATCAGAGGAACAATACCCCAAATATTTTCATAACACACCACTCACACTAGCAGAGATTTGTTGTAATGTAAGGGAAGACACCAAATAAAACAGACACATTTGATTTGAACCACTCCAAAGATCAATCACAAGACATCATGCTCTGACCACCACCACCGAACACTACTCTGAACACACCTTCAGTGAATTTGTCAAACTACACAGCAAAACTAAAAACAAAACAGGACTGACACAATTGGGATGGTTTTCTTGTGGGTTTGCCTCATAGTGCAAGGTTTAGAATTGACTTAGATTTTTACATTTACATTTAAATTCAGCTCAAATTAAAATTTACAGTGCTACCACGTTCAGTATCTCTGTTACACAATAACCCAAGGGCCGGACTCTGAAAGCTTCATGGATGTTATCGCATGTCCCTCTTAAAGGGTAATGCATAATTGAATTATCGAGATGTTAACGGCGTCATTCAGAGTGGTTTGATACAAACTGCTGCACTGTAGGAAAACATTGATGTGGATTTCTTTACAGTGGTGGTGAGAGGAACCAAGGGTTGTGATGTCTACAACACAAATATATCCATTTTATTTACTATCTGACACCACCAGCAGACCTACATGTGATGTCTTAGTTTTTTGTGTAGTGTTAATAATAGTAAAATAGTACAACAGAATCTGAAATAAATACAATGCATGTACCTCTCTGCCATAAATGGGGTTAAAGAAATGTGTTTTAGGCCAAAATCTCAGAATCACTGTAAAACAATAACTCAGATATCAGGCAACATCTTCATCACCACCACTGAGAACAGTCCACATTCAGTAAGTTTCTCTAGAATCATGCATTTTGCATCAAACCATAACTTTGTTTACATCTTAATGATTTAATTACGCAGTTTTTTTTTTTGGATTGTTGGAATTTTCATTTTGACCCCGGGCTACTCTGTGACCAGGTCTTGACCATCCTAGTACCTCAAAGGAAGATTAGAACATCCTGAGATAGTCGTGGTGTAACCCTTGGGCTAAAATTAAAGGAAAGGTGGACCGTCAGCTGTTTTGCTTTCTACCAATGACAGACAGTGTTCCAATATGCCTGCAACCAATGGAAAGAGAGTAAGGAGGCGCACATAGGCTGTCATTGTCCTCAGCCTAGTGTAAACTTACACTTATTTTATGTTTATTTCTGTTTTATATATGTACTTGTGCATACTGCTAATGTCTGATTACTTATGTTACTGCATATATATGCATAGATAGAACTTTTTTGTGGGGTACAGTTAAATCACAATGAGAAGTGTAATGGATGACTTTATTTTTATATAGGACATTCCTGAGGTAGTCCTAAAACTTACTACAGCCACACCCACAGATAAGACCAGTAATTCGACAAAATGGTGTTTTGAGAATCGCTGGAGAAGCCAGTTCTGACTGAGCCTCTGGAGATAAGATGGTCCTAGTGGTTTACGACTGTCCACAGTAATTGAAGAATCCGGTCCCAGAGTTGGATCTGAATTCCTTGCTGTATGAGGCTGACCCCATGACTGCATGTAGGAGGACCCACTAGACCATGAATAGCAATGATTAGCAATGGCAGAACCAACACGATCACAGCACAACCAGAGCACAAATACTGTACCAATGGGCAGGGGGCATCTGGATTGGACTCTGCCTCCCCACCATGTTCTCTACCCCCACTGGATTCCTGTTAGTGAAACCCAGCCAAGTTAAATCTGTCACACTACTAACCATCTATAACCAGCAACTGACCAAGAAAAACCACAACACTGATAATGTTGGAAAAGGCTTGGGCTGTCACTACTCTCTGAAGATAAAAGACTTTTAAGCAAACTGATCACAAGCACTGTAGAAGCAGTGGAGACGAGGATGAATAACATACCACAGGACAGGGCTGGTCCAGCCCCGGAGGCCCCTGCTCTCCTTTTTGTCCTTTTAGACCCTTTTTCCCCAGTGAGCCTCTTTCACCCTGAAAGAAATGGAAGTGGTCAGGGAAGCAGCATGAGCAGACATTTATATCTAAAAACACAAGCTATTAAGCTTCTAGGGTTAGGTAGTCACAGAATATATGTATTGGTGTTTGGAGACCTTTGACGTTGGTTACATATCCAGGACACAAAACATAACATAACTGTATTCTGTCACAGTTACAGAAAAAATGACAGTAATCAGATTACAGGTGCACTATAAAAACAGGGTGATTACCAGCAGGATTACATTCAAACGCTGTTTTAATGATAGATGTATCACTTGAATTGTGTGGAACAGTTTTTACTTTGGGGAGATAAGAGGGGGGGAGGAAGGCCCTGCTGCCAGGAGGGTTTTATTTAGCCAATTTATAGAAATTTTAGTAAGTATTAAATTTTTTTGCCAGAACTGCAGTGCTTTCCTGAAGACACTTGAATCAGTCGTTTACTTCGTTTTACATAACGCCTAATTCTACAAAAGCAAACTGATGTGGCCTTTATTTATAATCACTGTTGATGAGGGGTCTCAAAAGAAGATTTCTACCAGAGTGACCTTTGACGCTGGTTAGTTTTTGACGAAACTGTGTTTGATCCAATGTACTGGGTCAGTCTATATCGATTATTTGTGTCCCTGTATTTTAGACTGGGAGGTTTTAGTCTCAGTGTATTAAACTGTTTTATTTTCCTGTTAAAATCAAGTTTATCCTTGTGAGCTGTGCCTTAATTTCTGAACTTATATTTATTATATAAATAGAAAACTCAAACGAATTACACTGTACACATTTTTCACCTTTATTGGTTTTGTGAGGCATAATGTTTGTCACTTATATTCTATTATTCTGTATCATAAAACAGTGTAGTGTTCCTGTTTGCCACATACAGGGTTAAATTCTGGTTATTTTTCTCTTGTCCTCATGTAATTAAACAACTTTAACAAGACAAGTAGTCCAAAAGTAACGTGAGGCAATCAGATTATGTTAGTTTAATATAATAATCCTCTGGATTAGGTTACAATTACATTTTTAACAGGTAATCAGAAATCTATAACTGAATACATTTTTAAAGTAAGCCTCCCAACACTGTGTAAAAATGAATGATTGGATTAAGTACTTAATAAATGAATAAGAAATCAGTTAATATTAGCAATCAATATAAAAGTTATTAATAGTTTTAATATTACTATATTAATATTTAGCATTTGACTAATTCATGAAATAATGAATAATGATAATAGCAACAACTGTGTCAGGAGAGCGTGACAGTTTCTCTTGCCAACCTTTTCTCCTCGGTCGCCTTTGCTGCCCTTCTCCCCTCTGAGCCCTGGAAAACCCTAGCAGAGGAGACCCAGGGTCAGTAAAATGTGTGATCCAAACCAGAAATCATATTTTGTATAATGCTTTATAATTATGTGCCCAAAACATACTTACATCTAATCCAGGCTCCCCTTGCTTTCCCTGTCAGCACAAACAACAAATATATGTGAAATAAAAAAGAGATACATTTCTTTAAACTTGTCAGTGACGGCTTTGGAAAGATACTGACACTGACCTTTTCACCTTTTGCACCCGGTAGACCAACCAAACCATTAGAGCCAGGAAAACCCTGAAGACCCTGAAGAGAATGAAGAACAATATCAGTCCCATCTACAGGTCAGTTCAATCTCTACTTGAAGATAATTGATTCAGTTGTCCCCTTCCCCAAAAATGAAGTCAATCAGCCAAAGTGTGTTTGTTATTTGTTTCTTTAGTTTTGCAGTAGAGCTACGAGGCTAATTAAGCTAACAGGTAATGCAATCTCATTGCCCACCAGTTAACAAACTGCATGATTAAATCATCACACTTGCATTAAATCACATTGTCATTAACTAATCTCAAATATGTTTACTTATGTACTCATGTTAGAGATTACTTAACAAGCATGGTTTGAGGCAAGTGTGTGATGATTTAAGCACACAGTCAGCAGAGGCGTAGAAACCATTGTATGAGACCAGTTTTACACACACACTTTTATTGGTTCTGTTTGTTGTTTGGTTGCACAATAAAGTTTGAATGGGTTAGAGAATAAAACTGCTTACTCTCCCCAAATCCACATGGGAGAGAAACACAATTTTTTTTAAGAAAAATGTGGACAGTATTTCTGCTTTACGCTGCAAAAAATACATCTTGGCAAGTAAAATGATCTTTAGGCAATGTATCTTCTGTTTCTCAATTTGAGATTGTTGTAAGATTATTATAAGATTATTTAACTTATTTCTAGACATTTTTACTTGTTTTAAGTGATTTTAGTAAGTAATTTTATCTCACTATGTTGGCAGATCATTTTGCTTGTTTCAAGCATGTATCTTAAACAACCAAAATGATCTGCCAAGATAGTGAGATAATATGACTTACTTAAATCACTTAAAACACACACACACACAGACACGTCTGGTTCCCCGGACAAGGAATTGAATATGCGGTGACAGTGCTACCCACTGCGCCACCATGCCACCCCTCACTTAAAACAAATAAAACATTTCTAGAAAGAAATGAAATAATCTAATAATAGAAGAAATAGAGAAATGTTAGATATATTAACTAGATTTAAGACTATTTTACTTGCCAAGATGTCATTTTTTGCAGCATACTTATTCTATTGAAATGAAAAGCAACTCAGACCAGAAATAATAAATGCAATTAAACAAAAAAAAAATATGTGAAATTATTTGTTTTATGGCTGGATATCTTGCACTGTGTTCTGTTGAAGTCATTTAAGTAAGTACATGTGATTGGATCAACTACAGTACAGGACTGCCACAGAGGCCAAGCTGGTTCATCATCATGTATGTCGATGAAATATGACCTTTTTATCACATGAATCATTTTTTCCACAGAATTTATTTAACAGTGCTCAGTTTGGTTGGCTGGGATACTTTACTAGGTTGGCATTCGGACTGTGGCTTGCCAGTAAATGCCCTCTGATGTAGTTTGATATATTTGAGCAGTTACCTAATGTGCCATATTACAAAAACTACACTATATTGCCAAAAGTATTCACTCACCCATCCAAATCATTGAATTCAGCTGTTCCGGTCACTTCCATGGCCACAGGTGTATAAAACCAAGCACCTAGGCATGAAGACTGCTTCTACAAACATTTGTGAAAGAATGTGTCGCTCTCAGGAGCTCAGTGAATTCCAGCGTGGTACCGTGAGAGGATGCCACCTGTGTCCAGTTATGAAATTTCCTCGCTACTAAATATTCCACAGTCAACTGTCAGTGGAATTATAATAAAGTGCAAGTGATTGGGAATGACAGCAACTCAGCCACGAAGTGGTAGGCCACGTAAAATGACAGAGCGAAGTCAGCGGATGCTGAGGCGCATAGTGCGCAGAGATCGCCAACTTTCTGCAGAGTAAATCGCTACAGACCTCCAAACTTCATGTGGCCTTCAGATTAGCTCAGGAACAGCGTAGAGAGCTTCATGGAATGGGTTTCCATGGCCGAGCAGCTGCATCCAAGCCTTACATCACCAAGCGCAATGCAAAGCGTTGAATGCAGTGGTGTAAAGCGCCGCCACTGGACTCTAGAGCAGTGGAGACGTGTTCTCTGGAGTAAGGAATCACGCTTCTCTGTCTGGACATCCGATGGACGAGTCTGGGTTTGGCGGTTGCCAGGAGAACGGTACTTGTCTGACTGCATTGTGCCAAGTGTAAAGTTTGGTGGAGGGGGGATTATGGTCTGGGGTTGTTTTTCAGGAGTTAGGCTCGGTCCCTTAGTTCCAGTGAAAGGCATTCTAAATGATTCAGCAGACCAAGAGATTTTGGACAATTTCATGCTCCTAACTTTGTGGGAACAGTTTGGGGATGACCTCTTCTTGTTCTAGCATGACTGCACACCAGTGCACAAAGCAGGGTCCATAAAGACATGGATGAGTGAGTTTGGTGTGGAAGTACTCGACTGGCCTGCACAGAGTCCTGACCTCAACACAATAGAACACACTTGGGATGAATTAGAGCGGAGACTGCGAGCCAGGCCTTCTCGTCCAACATCAGTGTCTGACCTCACAAATGCACTTCTAGACGAATGGTCAAAAGTTCCCATAAACACGCTCCTAAACCTTGTGGAAAGCCTTCCCAGAAGAGTTGAAGCTGTTATAGCTGCAAAGGGTGGGCCGACATCATATTAAACCCTATAAATTAAGAATGGGATGTCACTCAAGTTCATATTCATGTGAAGGCAGACAAGCGAATATTTTTGGTAATATAGTGTATATGTTGCTGCTATTTAGTTGGTCACTAAGGCACAGCATACTTTAATAAATTTGTCAGCTTGTTCATTTTTAATTTTTGAGAAAATCACAGGCCCCCAACATTAAAGTGTCCCCTCAGTTTCCAAATCACTCCTATATCCTTGGTCAGCATGATGTGATGCTAAACGATGGGATTGTGTCCATAGTTTGTTAGCTACAGTGGCCTCACAGTGCCAGTGCAAAATTATACAACCAAACTTCAGACACCAAACCTATCTTGGCTGATTGACTACATTTGGGTTAAAGAACAATGCATTGAGCACAAGATCACACTTTTGAAGTGAGATCAAGTGCTTGTGGGTCATGGATAGAAGTGAAGCTACAAGATAGCTACAAGCATTGAGGTGAAGTACTATAGCAGAAGCAGCAGGATAGGAAGCTTACCCGCGGTCCAGGGGGGCCTTTCTCTCCTATATCCCCCTTCTCTCCTTTCACTGCCTCACCCGGCTCCCCCTGAGTTCAAACACGAACATTTACATTCACCACACCATTATTCCCATATAAACACAAATCCCAATCCCAAATGTTTTTGCTCTTTTTAAAGTGCCACCACAGTCGTACCTTCTGGCCAGGCATTCCATGATGCCCCTAAGAAGAAAGCAAATGGAAAATATGGTAATTTATTTTCTGTGCTGAGGCTTATTTACTCAATGAATCCAGTTGTTAAAAATAAAATAAAAATGGCTCCAATGTTTTTCCTTACCATGATGCCCTGTGGGCCAGGTGGTCCAGGAGGCCCTGGAGGTCCTGGCAGTGAGATGATCTGAGCCTAAAAGGCAGAAGAACCAAATTCTCTCAAGCTTAGGCTTAAACTATGTGAATTGAAGAAGCAGATTCATGAGGGGAACATGATAAATTTGGCACCAGCACTTCTTTTGCAACATTTCTTTGTATGGTAACACTTTACTGTAGGGTACAGTTCATAAGGCTACATGACACCCACATAAGCTTGTCATGACAATTGACATAGACCTACATAAATGTTTATTAATGCTTATTCCAATAGGCAACATCTATCGGAATAAGCATTTGTAAACCTTTACGTAGGTCTATGTCAGTTGTCATGACAAGCTTATGTAGGTGTCATGTAGCCTTATGAACTGTACCCTGCAGTAAAGTGTTACCCTTTGTACCAAATACGGTACTGTCAGAGATCAACTTTCACTTATTCAATTCTCAGTCAAAACAGACACTAAGTACAAGTTATTCATTTTGATATAAACAGATATGAAGAGATTAAATATAAGATAATTATATATAACATAATCAGTAAAAGCTAGAGTTCAAAAATTGATTAAAAGATACAGAGAAAAGGAGACTCCCAACAACCATGCAGGATCTAGTTGAACATCAAAACTGTCACCATCAGATAAACAGCGCTTTCATCTTTGAGAGAGGGAAGAAAATCTATCCATTCTTCCACTGTGAAAAGACAACTCAACACTATGGGCTGAAAGGATGTGAAGCTGTCAAGAAGACATTACTGAGAAAAGGAAATAGATAAAAAAGAAGAAAATTTGCAAATCAAACAAAGAAGCTACTAGTGTTCTCAAAACAATGGACTGACCATTTCAGAGTCCAGAGCTTAACATCACTGAATGCGTTTTGGATTATTTGGATCGTGGGAAGAAGAAAATGTAACCAACTTTTAAGAATTAACTTTGAAGGTGTGGAAAAATGTACAGACTAAATACTGAAAATATTGATGTTATATTTAGTTATTGAGGCTTCAGTGTAATGTTCTGTTAAATATTGTTTTCCTCTTTTTTTCTGACACAGACAAATTAATATTTGTACTTAATGGCTGTTTAAATGGAAACAAAATAAGTGAAACATAGTCTCTGTCATTTGTAGTGCACTATAAGACTCAACAAAAGTTTTCTTCTTCATTCAAGCTATCAGTCATTACTACAACTTTGGGCCTTTTCTAAATTGTGTAAGTAAATAAATAAATAAACATGGAAATCTAAAGAAAGTTGCACACTTTTGATATGACTTGAATGTGGTCAAAACTGTATAAGATTGTACTTCTAAATTCTATGATATGAAAAATGACTACACCATGCGTATTAAACAATTCAACTGACCAAACTATCCTCAAGTCTGGAGTCTCCTTTCTCCCCTTTCTGACCGTCAGCACCCTGAAATAAAGATTCATGTCATTATCAGCAATCTTCTCTTGCAAATAAAGCATTCTCCTCTTCGTAGCATCAGCTGTACTATTAATTATTTCTTTGCAGTGGTGGTCTAGTTACAGGTTTAGTCGTCTTACTCACCGCTGGCCCGGACACACCCATCTCTCCCTTCTCTCCTGCCACTCCAGGCTCTCCTGTCTCACCCTTCTCTCCCTTAGGTCCCTGTGGAGATCAGTTAAATCTCTAGTTCAATCTTTTATATACACACACACACACACACACACACACACACACATACATACATACATACATATATATATATATATATATATATATATATATGACACAATAATATACATTAGCGTGTAGGTTTGAAAACTTCACAGGCTTCACATAATTTGTAGGACATGAGAAAGATGTGAATAAAAATTAAGACGTATTGAATGTGTCCATAAGTGTGAATAGAGCTATTCTAAAACGACTGTGAAAGCTGTAGAGCATAAAGAATTAAGTTATAATAAATTCTTCCTGAAAATCAAGTCTCCGTTGACAGGCTTACCAGCTGTGTGTCGGATATTTCTCAGTGGTTGTAACAAAATTTTCTACAACCAAATCATAAAAAAATGAAATACTGATCTTTGGTACCAAAACTCAGAGAAACATGCTCTTTATGAGACTCTTGGTTCTTTAGCTTCATATACCAAACCTGAAGTATGAAACCTGGGTGTAATCTTGGACTCTGAGCTCTGTTTTATCCTGCATGTAAACACAGTCAATAAAGTAGCTTTTTACCTCATTTAGGTAAAAGTAGGTTTGTTACAAGCAGAGTTGATTACTGTAATGCTCTTTTTACATTCTCTACAACTCAAACAAAATGCAGCAGCACAGATCTTAAAAAAACAAAAAATCGCCCCTGTTTTGAAAGAACTGCACTATATCCTGTATCTTTCAGGATACCTTTTAAAGTTCTGCTACTACTTTTTTTTAAGGCACTAAATGGCCTTAAAGCACCTGCATTACTTCAGATAGAGAATATCTCTCTGTTTATGATCCATTATGTTTATACTGGCCTTCTGCAAATACCTTTCGTAAAATGGAAACCGTGCAGAGGCCTCTTTCAGTTATTATGCTTCTAAACTGTGGAATTCCACCTTATATTAGATGGTCAAGCTCAGTGCTCACTTTTAAGAAACATTTAAAAAACATGTCTTTAACTCAGCATTGAATTAAAATTCTACATCTCTTTGGTATTTATTTTTTAATCTGTCTGCTTTATATGATTTCAGATTAATACTCATAGTTTCTGCTATTACTGTTAAGCTTTATGACCTCTGTAAAGCACTCTGAGCTGTCACCAGCATGAAAAGTGCTCTATAAATAAAGATAGGATTACTATTATGATTATGATTATTATTAAATCAATATTCAGCATTCAGCATATTTCAAAAGTGGAGATCAAATATCAAGGCTGATAACTTAAACAGATCATTCTAATAGATTATTCATTTAATACTGTCATACAGTTTTATCATTTAATACATTCATGTTTAAAGAATTGTTAAAATATCGAGTAATACACCTAGAAATACCTACCTGATAAATGTTTAAAGCCACACTGTATTAGTTATTACTGTGTATAAAATAACAAAAAAGTGTTAATATGGAAAGTGATTTCAAACTATTGAACACTGTACCTGTTGGCCCTCAGATCCAGGCAATCCGGGAGAACCCATCTCTCCCTGTGAACACAATAGATTTCAGTGGATAAAACAAAAACTAACTAAAATAACAAATGTCTAGTGAGCTGTATGAGATCACATGTGCTTCGCAGAGAATTTGTTTTTTTCTCTGCATACTTTATATTTTCACTGTCATAAGAAAACTGGAGATACAAGCTGCAGAGAAAAACTCTTACCATCTGTTAATGTAATTTTGCTTTTCAAAATTTCTGTTGATCCATTCATCATGAAGTGTTCATGCAATGAAAAGGGCTGCTGTTTTCAAATGGTGTAAAAAATGAAAAGCATAAAAAAATATAGGTTCTTATGAAAGTGATGACATATTGCTTCTGTCCTGTTTTTGAGGGTGTCTCTTACTTTTGCTCCTTGCTCTCCAGGAGGTCCTGGTGGACCTGGCAGACACTGTTGACACTGCAGGAAAAGGTATGTACAGAATGTATAAATATTTAATCTTTTAAACTAGGCCATTTAACAGTACTACACAATTTATGAGGCATTGTGGGATTTTACATTAAAGGGGCTTAAAGGGGAATTTCATTGATTCTTTCAAAATTTCAGAATAATTCAGTGTTTGTGATGTAAACATAGTCATTCAGAGTGATCTGATGTGAAATGGTTCATTGTAGAGAAACTTACCATGTTGGATTTCATTACGGTGGTGACTGTACTGTGGGGACTATTTTGTCTTATAACACTCTATACATACCTCTCCACTATGAATAGAGCTTAAAAATACACTTCAGGCCAAAATATGCCTCATACAGCAGGCGGTGTATCCATAGCCATTTTATGTAGTAACCTGTGATGCTGTTTAAGAGGCATTACACTTTTCAGATATCTGGTTCTATTCAGCACTGTGAACTATTCTGATTCTGTAAGTTACTCTAGAACAAAGCATTTTACACCCATTTTGAATAACATTGTTTACATCCCACCGTTTTACCTATGCAGAGATTTTGAAATTTTGGTGGAATTTCCCTTTAATCTGAACCTTACCGTCAGGTCTAAATGTGAGCCAATTTCGCCGGAGACCTCAGGAGGCCCCTACTCTCCAGCAAAGCCCAGAGCAAGAGAGAGGATAAGCAAGTTAAAAGAAAGAAAGAGAGAGAGAGAGAGAGAGAGAGAGAGAGAGAGAGAGAGAGAGAGAGAGAGAGAGAGAGGGGAGAGAGAGAGAGAGAGAGAGCATGTCAGTGCAGATTAACTGAAGAGTTTAAAGCAGAGCACTATAATAACTAATAAAAAGGTTCATTAGGTTTATAGATTTAGGACACAGCCCATTTACCCTTGGTCCCGGAAAACCAGGTTCTCCTCTCTCCCCCTGTAAGAGCAGGCATACAACTGAGCTCATAATTTAATACTAAAGTAAAAAATGCAGCTAATATTATTTAATTCTTTATAAGCTCTCTGTGCACCACAATAATATCTAACAAGCATTGTACCTTTACACCCGGGGGTCCATCCATGCCTCTTTTCCCCTCTTCACCCTGATCTCCCTACAGAAGAATAAGTGATTTTAACTCAGAAGCCAGGGCATCAATATAAAACAGCAACAAATATGGATCATTCTACTAAAAGTCAGAGCTGAAAATGCATCTCACTGCTAACTGATTTGGACTTTAGACTAAATTCCTGAGTGACTCTCTACCTTAATTATGTTTATTTTACTAAAACAATCAAATGACTGAACGTTCCAATTTGTCACTAACAAACCAATTATAACACTACTGACAGTTCGCCAAATGTTTCAGTAGTGACTGTCTCAGTAGTGACAATTTAAGCTTTTAATTTTGAGCAGAACTCAAAAACGCTAGCCAGTACATGACTAGCAAACACAGCTTTGAACAGTTGAACACACATAAAATCATAATATATTCCATTAAAACACAAAAAGTTGTCTTAAATGCATTAAATATGTGTTTCGGTAGTGATACCTTTAGGACAGGTCAGAACAATGGGATCTAACTGCTCACCATGTGGCCATGACTGATATGGATGCAGTCTCACTTCCTGCTGTAAACAGCAGGGGTGTGGCTAAAATAAGGTTCCACTCATGGACTATAACTCATTATATACTCATTTTATGAATGAAGTTTTTTTTTTTTCATTTAAAATGTTAAACTTATGAGAAACGTAATCTTTAACCTTCACTTTAAAATAAATCAAAAAGACCTTTTATATATATATATATATAATATATATATATACATACATATATATATATATATATATATATATATATATATATATATATATATATATATATATATTTTTTTTTATGTAAATATTATTTTCACAAGTTGAAATATAGGGGTTAAGGTTTGGGACAGACACCTTTGAACAGAAAGTACACTATAAATGATGATTTTGTATATATATAGCTGATTACTGTCTCAAATAATGCTTACTAATTCTACTAATTTGGTAGAATGGTCCATATACTGTGCTGAAGTTTAGAATTACTTGACTGTTACAGTCACCTAAGGATGGACATTATACCAAAATTATGACATCATAATACTTGGATGTTTTCACAATACACTGTATTAATAAGGATATTGGTCCTATGATCAAATCTAGTCATACACACAAATTTCACTGGCAGTTTTGTTATTCATCAGTTTAATCTTTGGTGTAGCTGCACAATAAAACTCACATCTGGTAGAAGTGCATGTAAATTTAATTATAATATTTTAACAGCCTGAAAAATGCCTGTTTTGTGGTTAAATAAATTATTGTCAACAACAATAATATCAGCAATACCAGTAAAAATATAAAATAACAGTGATAATACTGATAACGTTGCACATAGCAATCTTGTAGAGCATGTAAAACCTGTGCGCTATCTTGTTTTCTGCCAGTTGTGTAAAAGATGTCTTCCTTAGCATCTAATGCAACACCAAATTGCTCCAATGTTAGCTTTAGCATTAGCTCATTTGAAAGGGTACTACCTGTCACTCAACACCTGTGGCTTTAACATCTGGTGGCTACAATATTTGCCTGGTTTGATTAATGTAACAATGGTTTCCAGGATCCTTTTTTGGTTTAAATTGGCCACATGAGTCACATTTTGTCAACTGTTGAACTTGTCAGCACTGAACACGTTGTAAAGCCAGTTTATTTGAGTAGAAAAATTATGTAAATCTTTGTTTGCTTTGTAAGTTTAATATTTACTCTTTTTGACCTCTTTTGAACTGTTTGCATAGTGCTGCAGATAGATGGTGTGAGCTGAATGTTTGATAAACATAGCAACAGCAAGAGAGGTGGCATATTGTGTTTTGTATTTAGCATTACTGTCTATCATATTTAGCACATTGTGTGTCATATTTAGCATTACTGTGTATGAAACATTGTGTGTCGTTTTTAGCATATTGTGTTCTGTATTAAGCATATTATGTATCGTATTTAGCATACTGTGTACTGTGGGTGGCAGCCTTTCCAGTAGCTCTGTCTTTACTGTACTGTTTTTGCACTTTTTTCTTCCTTTTTTTTTCTTTATATGCTCATATTGCTAATTTAGTGACTTTATCACCTGCACATCTGAACACTACTCCACATCTGGACACTTTATGTCAGTACCAATATATGCACATATTTATTCAGTATTGTCATTATATGCTGTTACCTACGCCTCCTTGTACATTCATTATTGTACTGCCTTTTGTATCTCAGGATGGATCTTGGACTTGGGCATATTTTTGTATATTTATAGTTGTATAAATGCCTGTAGATAGGTTTTTTGTATATATTCTTCTTTTTATATTGTATCACCCTTATTATTATAACTGTCCTGTGCTGTGTGACTGCTTCTGGCTGCTAAATGTCCTTCAGGATCAATAAAGTATCTATCTATCTATCTATCTATCTATCTATCTATCTATCTATCTATCTGTCTATCTATCTATCTATCTATCTATCTATCTATCTATCTATCTATCTATCTATCTATCTGTATTTGTATATCGCTGTTGTTGGAAGAAAACCTCGTATCTCCAATTTTGACATTTTTCAGTTTTTGACATAATTTGAAAATTTCTGTTACCCTTTACATTGTATGTAATTTTCTATGAAGAATGGACTAAAAGAAAAGACTCAAAATGACTTGGAAAAAGTCTGGCTCCATTGACTTACATTAAAAGTAAAGTACAGTTTTTCCACCTCCTGTATCATTAATCATTTTGGAGATATGAGGTTTTCTTCTGACAACAGCGATATGGTGTGTTGTATTTAGCATATTGTGTACTGTATTTAGTATATTGTATCATAATTACTGTGTATTGTATTTAGCATATTGTTTATCATGCTTAGCATATTGTGTATCATATCCCTGCTGAAGAAATCAGGCCGGATCAGCACGGAATTTACAAGCTGGTTTATGCTGATTCCTGTTTGTCTAGTGCTGGTCTGGGCCAGCTTTAGCTGGTCACCAAGTATGATCATGCTGGTTGACTAGCGTACCAGCATCCAAAACACAACATATGCTGGTTTTGTTGGTGACCAGCATATTAATTGCCTTTGTTGCTGACCAGCATACCAGTATCCAAAACACAACATATGCTGGATTTGCTGGTGATCAGTCATGCTAATCTATGCTGGGATTTAGCATAGTGTGTATCGTACTTTATTTAGTGTCATTATGCATCATATTTAGCATTTAGTGTGATTGTGTTTTGTATTTAGAACACTGTGACATAATGTATCACAGTAACGATAGCAATAACATATCTGCCCTGCAATCACTTTGTACAATTGTACAGTTGTTGGAAGCTTGATAACTTATAAAACAACAGCATTAAGCCTACTTTAAGCCCCGGAGGGCCCTGAAGTCCAGTCATGCCACGCTCTCCAACTTCACCCTGTATGAAAGACCAGACCAGACACACTAATGACCACCCAGTAACCAAAATGAGCTTAAGTGTCTCATTCAAACAAGGAAATTATCAGAAGAATGATAAAAAAGAACTTACCTTTATACCAGGTGGCCCTCTTGGACCCTTTTAAACAAGAGAGAAACACAGTCATTTAATACTAATGAATTATTTCATTTTAATGTAAAATTAGAATCGTGATATTAATGAGTCCAGTAACAGTCGCACTATGTCACAACAAGTTAAAAATACCTACTTCCATCCCATCCTTTCCAGGAGGACCCTGTTAGAAAAGCAGAGGCAGTATTAGCCAATGGGATCATTCACTTTCAACTAAAGTAAAAAAAAAAAGTGAAGGTGCAGTTCTGCAACTTGTCCACTAGATGTCTCATCACAGCAAATCTACAAAAGAGTAAGCATGAGTCCCACAAACTGAAGCATGCTGTGCTTACTGGCTTTCTTGCGCAATTCATGAGCGCAACCTATGAAGAAACCCCAAAATAATAAAAAATCCCATAAAGCCAATTTAAAAGTAAAAACAATAACAATAAAGCCCTCTGTTCCGGCTGTAGATTATTCAGGATTTATTCAAGCAATAATGGAGAGCTTTTGCATGAAAAACAAACACAAAATGTACAAAACACAGATGCAAATAACTGCAATCAAAATGACTCCTTGCATGTGTTTCTTAGCTGGGTCAACAACCAAGGTGTGATGTCGAGCCAGCCATCCAAGGAGCCAACAAACATCCTTGTAACAGACCTAACCCTGGTAATAAATGATCTGTTGACAGGCTTGAATCCAGCAGACGCAACACAGACACCATCTAGTGTTCAGGCCTCTGGCTTTAAGAGACCAGAGCGTGTCTCATTGCACAATGGGTGAGCAGGACAGAGCCACGGCAGGCCTTTAGCTGCTAATGAGGTGGTTTCGTTCAGACAAAGATAAACACAATTTGCAAGACAACAACAGGAAATGGCCTCTGAGTCTGTGACCCTAAAACATCTGCTCACAATATGGGGGAGACAGAAAGAGAAAAGGAATGAGAGACTGAAGTTTGTTTCAGTGATTGCTTTCGTGAAGATGGAGATGGCATATACAAGCAGCACCATTTGACAGCGAGACCTTTGATTTTGCACTTTTACCTACCATGATTGCGTATTTGTCATTATTCGTATGTCTAACATAAGACAGTGATTCTGATGTCTAAAACTACCGCGACTTTCACTCTGTTGATGACAGACCACTGGAAACCTGAGAAGGGTCTGAGTCTGGGTTCCTCTCTGCCTCATGCCTTAAAGGTTTCCCACTATACAAATGAATTGAACTAAACTGGAATGAACTGAACTGAATTGCTATCATTGTCAGTGCATGTGTACATGTGGACTGTTTCATTCAAAAACTGAAAAGGTAAATATGGTATTAGAATGGAATTAAAATGCTTCCAATTCCATAATGGCTTACATTAATGGCAAAGAGGAAATGGAACTACAGAGGGAAAATTGTAAAGATGTGTTCACAATAGGCTTGATACTGCAATTTCAGGAAAAACAATATTTGAATAGGCTGGTTTTCATATTCAACTTGAGGACCCTTTTTGAATTGTATGCATGAGGGTGCAAGAGCACAGCTTGTTTCAGTAGTCCTGTTTACTGATGCACAGCTCTGCATTTAGTATGGAGCTACCACAATAAAACAATGCAAGTGTTTTGGATGTAGTGAAAATTTCTGTTGAAAGCTTGGTAATACTGGCTGGGGCAGCAGATGCTGAGGTGCAAGATGTGCACAGCAGAAGTTGGACTTTAGTAAGTTTCAATCTCAGGCACTCTGCACACAGAAGTACACTGACTGTCTGATGAAAACTGCATCCTAAAATCACCACAACTCTCAGAATCTCACGTCATAGAGAATTTAAACCTGCTCTGGCTAGCTGCACTTCTGTACACTGGCCTTCTGTCTTATGGGAAACAAATGTTTATGAAGTTAAATTCTAGAAAACATTCACGTTGTCCTGTTTTAAGAATTTCCAGAAATTTGTTTAAAGGTGCAGGCAGCAAGAAAACAAGATATTCTCATACATTTGCTGACCACTACTCTGAATAGTAGTGTAGGGCTAGTAGGGTTTTTGTCATGGGCTAAACAGTCTATCTAGTCTGGCTTGCGAGCCTGTATTTCAGTGCAGTCACACCTTCCAATGAAATTAGTTTCATTTTGTGTAGTATTTCCACACTAATAAAGTACTTTGGGCTTAGTACTTAGCAGAAAAATGTATTTCTGTCCTCCACCTTCTGCATCTTCACTGCAGTTTTTACAGGTGCTGTATTTCAGGCATTGTCCTCAACTAGTCTACTGCTGCCCACAGCGCTGCTACACCTAGTCTATCTATCTATATCTATCTACATCATAAGTTTGATGCAAGGGTGTATGTTTGCACTGTGGTGGAGGCCACTGACTCTCTTCGCATGGTATGCGAAGCTGTGCCATGGGCCCCCCCGACACCCCACTGTAAAAAAGGGACATTTTGCTGTTGTTTAATGTTGTTTATGTTGCTGTTTTGTTAGTCTGAGATGTGTGTATGTGTTATCTGTGTTATTTTGTGTTTTGGTGAGGTTTTAGTTAGTGGGTTGAGTGTTTACTGTAGAGTGGAACTGCATGGCTCATGGTGACCTCCCGCTTGAGTTTGGCTGTATTCATGTGCCTTTTCTGTTGCCGTTAGCAGAAATCTCAGCCTCTCCTTTGACTCCTTCTTCACCAAGACACTACAATATATTGCGAGGATTCATGTAAGTGTCTTTGGCCTGGCCACAGTTTAGTGAACGTTTTTGCGATCCTTCAATAAACTTCTGATTCTGATTGACGACTGACTGCCATTAGCAGTAAGTGCATGTCTGACTGTAATAAATCTGAACACAGCCTGAGCGGCAGGTTTGCTGCTGTATACAGTGTCACCATGTGAAGAGCCACACCTGTTGAACTAAGTCTGAGTCATAGAGGGCTTAGTGTGAGTGAGCTCATCACAGACAGAGTGAATGTGTGTGTGTAAGTGTGTGCTGCCTGTGCTTGCTCTCTCACCGGCTCTCCTGAGTGGCCCCGGGGTCCGTCTCTGCCTGTGTTTCCTGGAGGCCCTCTGGGACCAGGTTCTCCGGGAGGCCCCGGGGGACCAGGAGGCCCCGCCTGACCCTGATCACCCTGCAGAAATATAGATAGATAGATAGATAGATAGATAGATAGAAGAAGAGAGAGAGAGAGAGAGAGAGAGAGAGAGAGAGAGAGAGAGAGAGAGAGAGAGGGGAGAAGAAACGTAGGAGAGAGAAAGGGTGAAAAGAGAGAGGAAGAGAAAAGGAGAGAAAAAGAAAGTGACAGAAAGGGGCAGAGTGAGTGAGGGGGAGAGTGGAGAGTGGAGAGAGAAAAAGAAGAAGAGAGAGTGAAGGTGGGAGGGAATGAGTGAGAGAGAGAGAGAAATTTTAAATCATATCTGGGTGGAAAGTAAAATAACACTAATCAAAAGTAGCTCAAAATTGCTCCATGATCTCCTTTTGTTTTACTTTCGTGCCTTGATGTTATTCAAATGGACATTTTTAGTCCAGCCACAAATGATTCATGTTTCATACACGTTTTGTGATGTATTCATTTCATCTCAGTGATAATCCATGCATAATGAGCTAGAGAGGTTTTGGCAGTAGCGAAAACTGGCTGGTTTATTTGGCATGTGGGGGTGGCAGCCCTAGCCAAAACCCCACAACGAGAGTGGAGGCTGCTGGCAAACTGCACACTCATCCACACAGAGAAAGAGAGAGAGAGAGTTCAAGGCTGTGGTTTCATATAAAAATAGCCTCATTTTAGCATATTAAGCTGCCAAGATGAAAAAAGTCTATTTTGGTGCAGTTATTAGCTGTGGTTTGGGTGGTATGTTTTCTTCTCTTAATGTCCATAAACAAAGCATTTATCCACGCTAAGGGATATATAGTTGGCTGTCTCTATCTTTCTTTCTCCCCATTGCTCTTATTTCTCTTATTTCAAAGCAGGCATGCACGTTAACAGCCCAAACACCACAGGAGCTAATAGCAGGGTCTCAAGGCCAAAGACACACATGTGAGATGAGATGTCAGAAAACATAAAAGAAAGCGAGAAAGAGAAATGAAGAGAAAGATGAGAAATGGAGAGAAGGTGGTGTGACATGCGTAAGGCTCTACCTTTAGAAGACGCCTGTGAAAAGTGTGATGGTCGGCTGTGGCAGAGAGAAAGCCGTGCTCATAGCGTGGAAAGACCATCTGATGGCAGAGAAGTCAAGAAAGACAAGAAATAGAGCAGAGAGTGTGAAGAACAAGAAATGAAACAGTGACCTGAGAGCAGTATAGAGAGGAAGATCTCAGCAAAAAAGTGACTTAAACACTATTCAAACTGGATTTGTTTTACCACAGGAGGTCATGTAATGTAATTTGTTAGAGATTTGACTGGCTGAATTGTGCAGGATATCTGCGCAATTTCCCCAAAACTAACGTTTTGCAACAGGCGCCACACTCAATAACAATAACAATATGGAGCATGTCCGTGTCTGTTAGTAGGTTTACTTATGTTATTACATAAGTGTGAGGTCAGTTCAAACAGGACTATTAACCCTTAGAAGACACAGTTATCACCAGCAATAACAAAAGCATGGAGTAATTTGATCTTACTTCTGTTAGCTCACTGAAACAAGCAGAGAAATTAGATTATGTGCGCAATTTGTAAACATTCCAATGATGATTTTACATGATACCAAATTTGTGTTCCTAAATAAAATAGGAGAAATTATTATGATTTGAATTGAATGAAAAATGATTGTTGTGTGGTGTACAGTTTTGGTTTGTGGAAAGAAAAAACAACCTTTTGGCATGTTTTGTATTTACTGATATCAAGACAAAAAAAGTCAGACGTGCAGAAGCAAATCTGTCAATACAGAATGTAAATTAAACCTAAATGTAATTAATATACCAAAAAAATTAAATATATGTATGTAATTACTTTGGAATAGTATATCAAACAAACAATAATAATAATCGACTTCTAAGTATTAGTGAGTGAATTTGTGAATTACATAAGGTTATTTACATCAGAATGATTACAGTCAGGACTTAAAAACTGTGCGCACTGCACACTGCAAATTTGTAATTCCATCGCTTTCTAAAATTGTCTGTGTAATTAAATCATTAAGATGTAAATGAAGTCATTCAGAGTGGTTTGGTGTGAAACGCTCTGTTCTAGAGAAACTTACGTAATCAGAATTGTTCACAGCGGTGGTGATAGGAACCAGACGTCTGAAACTTCAGAAAGCTGGCTGTAAATGTTTTATAGTTTTGAGAGAAGCTTTTGGCCTAAAATATATTGGTTTAGTCATTAATGGTGGAGAGGTACACGCAGGGCCTTGTAACATAAAATAGTATAGAATAGAGTATAGAAAACTTTATTTTTGTTTATTTTAGCATTAAAAACTCAAACACCTGCAGGCTCACTGGTAAGGACAACATAACCACTGCTTACTATCATCACCACTGAGTCAGCAAGCTTCACTACAAGGCCCTATTTCAGTCAAACCACTCTGAATGACTGTTTACATGTAAATGATGGAATTTATGCAGAATTTTTGAAAAGTCACTAGAATTACCCTATAAAATTTAGTTACCTCCCTGGGTAAAACATTTTCCTTTAGACAGAAAGAGCAAAAAAAAAACAGTTCAGAAAGGAAGACTACAGCAGCACTGCCACCTCAAAGAAGAGAGAAAGAAAAGCAACAATAAGCCAGGCATTCAGAAACACAGTCACTGCTGAGACAGTATTGAGGCAAATAAAGTGAAGGCCTATGTGAAGATGGACAGTGGCCGGAGGGGGACAAACCTTTACTGTGAGAATCTGATTACTGAGCAAGCCTGCCGAGGCACTGTATGCTGGAAGGCCCTGGGAGGTCAGAGGGGATGGTACAGGAGTGAAGTGACAGAGGCATAGGAGGAGATAAACAAGGAGGCATAAAGGCAGATTTAGAGATGACGTGAGAGAAGTGAACAGCGATATTGTTAGAACACCCATGAGGAACGGATGAGTCGACTTTGGATTTTTACTCCTCTTCTGTGCGTATGTAGTTCACACTGACCTACTTTTCCGACCAACAAACAACGAGAAGACTCTTATAGACATTCTGGCTATATTGGCGTTCCAGATACCACGCGCTTCTGGATATGATTACCTTTCATTGCCGCACATTAGCCCATGAGGTTTCTATTTAGAGTTGTGGTAGGGAAGGCAAGGGATCCATGAAGAAAGGTAATGCTTTCCCAGGAGAAGCTTGCTCTCTCTTTCCATAATGACAGTGGCTTTTGGTGCTCTAACAATTTACTCTGCAATAACCATGATAAACTGGCAACCACCGTGAATCTAAAAAGGGCATGTAGAGTAAGCACATCGTTTTTTGCCTGACTCAGCATACTGCACTGATCTAAGCATGCTAGTCGGTATATAAAGACTACATTTTGATTTAGATTTTGAATGGCTTCTCATGACTTCTGGGAAAAGGAAAGAGGTCACAGGTTGCCCCCTTCCACCTGCAGTACAAAGTAAGCTCTGCCATCTGCTAGGAAACATTCAGCTTAGATCTGCTTCTGGGTCAAAAAGTTGGCGTCCCCAAGGAGCGTTAACGGATTCTATAGGTTGCGGTTCCCAGCCAAAGCAGAGCTTAATGTCTGATGAAAGAAAGTGCTAATTCACCATTACAATCGACACACAGAACACTGTAATGCTCCGGAAGCCATTGTCAACAACATATTCATATTTATGATAGGATGAAGCAAAAGCAACGCAGACCACACACACAGCAATTACTGAGCCTGTTCATCCATCCAAAACATGGTCCTGAGCACCTGTTTCTAATAGAACTGAGTTGACATGGCAGGTGGAAAAGTAGAAGCTTTGTAAAAATTGGCCAAACGTGATGGGTCTGGTAGATATAAACAGAACAGATGGATGAACTTTGCCCTCATGGCTGATTTGTCAAGGCCCATTATTTTATCTCTAATGGCAAATGGGCAGATCCAAGACAGTCTGCACAGAGCGTTAGTAAATGGACATCAGGAGCAGGACAAGGATGCCACAAATCTGAAGCACAGTCTTGACTGTTCCTGTTCAAATTCACAGTCTTGATCACTTCCATTCAAATTGTAACCACAATCTTGATCACTCTCATCCAAATCCTAACCACAATCCTGATCCCTATCCAAACACTAAATGAAACTTTCATCATTCCTATTCAAATCCTAACCACAATCTTGATAATTCCGATCAAATTCCTAACCGCAGTCTTGATCATTTCTTTCCAAATCCTAACCTCAATTTATAGATTATTCCTATTCTGAACCACAATCATGACCATTCCTCTCCAATCTGCAGTTTTGATTATTCTTTTTCAAATCTTAACAGCAATCTTGATAATTCCTGTCAAATTTCTAAGTTCAATCCACAGCTGCAACTAGGATCAAAAGTTTGGTGAGGTCCATTTTGCAGAAATGTGACCTGCATCTCATAGTGAATAAAATAACTGCTGAGAATTACACCAACTGTAAGTTTCACCTTTGAATTTTTTTTAACAATATCTTTACTCCTTTTTACCCATCCTTAACTGTTATGCACTTTTTCCTTTCATTTGTCCCTTCCTCATTCCTCCATTGTTACATTAACAGAGCGGGCAGTTCACTGCTCACTGTGTAGTTTCAATGGCTTTTTCCACATTGAATACCATAAAACCCTTCAGAAACTTCAGGGACCTCAGTGTCCTAATGCTGCTTATGAACATGATGGGTGCTGAAAATGTACTGAAGCAATTCCACATAGCAACAGTTGCTAGGCAGTAATTGGAGGGTTAAGAAAATAATCTGGAGCTTGGCAGATTTTGACTGGCCATAATACAGTGACAGCACTCATAGAAAACAAATGAAAATTTCATCATCCCAGAAATGTCATCATCCTGTGACTGTGTTATCTTAATAATGCTGTTTCTTCATTTAATCTCATGGCTGGAGAAAATTGACAAAAACACTTCTGAAACTACTGATGTCCTCATAGCTAGTTACTGCCACACTGCAATCTTGACCATTCCTATCCAAATCCTAACCACAATCTTGATCGCTCTTATCTGAATTCTGCAAACTACAATCTTTGTAAGAGCAACTATGACTTGACCTAAGGTCAGTGTGAAAATACAATTCACACCAGCACTGTTGAGTGAAAGCTCCACAGTGTGAACGTGAATGAAACTGACATATAGATTTACACAGAACCTGGCAGTGTATGAGCTCAATGGCGCTGCAGGGCATGGCTTTAGCGATTGATGTTTCTGGCACACTCACCCTGGGCCCCATGTCTCCCTGGTCGCCCTGTGGAGAGAAAAACAATTAGCCATTACTTATGTGCAACCATATCTGACATAAGCAGCCCACAGTGATGCGTAATCCATTCTGCTAAAGCCCTGAAGCTGTGCTCAGAAAGCACTGGAATATCTCAAGGCTGGCTTACATTAGGCTAAAACCTTTGCTGAGATCCCACAGTGGTGTAGTAAATTGTGAAAATATCATGCTGGAATGTGTTCTGAACTCTGGTGGGTGTACCTTATCTCCTTTTGGCCCCGGCATCCCCTGGCAGGAGAAGAGACAGATGTGAAAAAACAGTTAAAAGATCATTATCACTGTACTATCCAGCAGTTAGTGGTTTAATGTCCACTCTTATTCTTTAAGCCTTCTAATTTTGCCTGCTGTGTATTTTGCTTGTACTGTACAGGCCTCCAGCAGTAATAATGAGATATTATTCCTAATATAGTAGATGTCAAAAACTTTAGACACACCGACTCATAGAAAACCTTTACAACTGAAATAATATGTATGGGAGTACCATAATCCTACTAATATTACACTACTGATAATAGATTATTTTGACCACCCTAACTTGTCAAAACATAGCTGACTGGAATTCCAATTTCATTTCTGTATACTTCAATTGTTTAGATGTAAAGAGTCGTAGTTCAGAGAAACTTACTGATGCAAATTTCTTTTGAATAGAGGTCAACTACGCAAATAAAGCCAATTTATTTGCTGTCCAAAACGACCAATGAACCTACATGCATAAGGGGGCTATTTTGCCTTATAATGCCCTGAATCAACCTCTCTGCTGTGAAAGGACACATTGTAGGCCAAAACTTTATCTCAAAATGATTGGAAAAGAATATATCAGACATCAGGTGATGTATTTGTAAGCATTTAATCTAATTACTATTTGTGAGGGAGATTTAGAATTCTGACTTTGGATGGAGTAGTTCTCATCAAACCACTCTGAATGGCTTTACATCTCAGAGGAATTCCTCTCTAAACACATTAACAAGGAGAGGCTGATTTTATAATGATTCTATATCTGTTCTGTAATAATTCTATAAATAATAACTTCTAATAAGGGGCTCATGTAAATAAGATGATGTGATGAGCTACATTTTTCATCTCAAGTTCTAAATGAGTCAATATGAATAAGAAGTCATAAAGCATGTTGTTTCCACACTGTGATGTATTTGAAAAACTGTGTAAGGGAGGGTCGCTGAGCTAGCTGTTTTTTTCTCGATGATAGGTGGTGGTAGTGGGATGTGAAATATCATATTGCAGGATAATATCACTTTTCCCTGCCTGCTAGTGCACAATGATGTAGTAATTGAGGTAGTAATAAGCTAAAAAAGATACAAAATCATCATTTATAGGGTACTTTTTTATTGGGAAGTGTCTGTCTCAAATCCTAATTCCTAAAGTTCAACTTGTAAAAGAATCCTTTTTTTGTTTCTTGTTTTGAATGTTTTTTAATTAATAAAAAATAAAAAAAAATAAAAAAAAACATTATTCAAAAGATGTTGTCCCTCGTTTTCATGTCCCTACTGAAACACAAAGAGTTTTAGTCGAAAGGCGGAGCCTTATCTTAGCCACACCCCTGCATTTTACAGCAGGAAGTGAGACTGCATCCCTGTCTCTCATGGCCACATGGTGAGCAGTTAGAGCTCATTGTTTTGCAGTAAATGCGTCTTACAGTCAGAAATTCAGTGTGTAACATTAAGAATTGTCACTACTGAAATATGTTGTCTGCTTTAAAGTAAAGTAAACTTTAAAGTGAACATTTTTATATTGTAATGAAAAATCATATATATATATATATATATCATTTTATGTATGTACCAATGTTATTGTGTTTGCTAGTCATGTACTGGCTAGTGTTTTTGAGTTAAAAAATGTCTAAAATTGTCACTACTGAAATAGTCACTACTGAAACATTTGTTAAAGTTTCAGTAGTGTTATGATTTTTTATTAGTGATAAAATGGAATGTTCAATCATTTGTTTTAATAACATAAACAGAATTAAGGTATAGGGTCACTCAAAACAAAAAGGTATTTAGTCTAAAGCCCAAATCATTTAAAACTCCAAAATGTGTTTTCAATTCTAACTTTGAACCAATTCAGGAGAACAATCAATAACATATTGTGATATGTACAAGCTCATTCAGAACATACAAAACTACACTGCTATGTAGTGCCCCACAAATAGTTTTTTCCAGATGTACTGAGAATGTCTGTATTTTCAATGGAAAAATATGAGCTCTGTGCTATGGTAACACATTTGATACAAATATCAGCCTATATTACCATTATCAGCCATCCAAGACCGTTTAAAAACCATATTTTTCAGTACAGTGGGTTTTTAAGACTGTATGAGAACCATACATTCAGTCATGTGTGTCTAATTTTTTGACTGGCGCTGTATATGCTACACGTGCTCCAGTTTCTAGTGCATCTGTGTCTGAGTGTCTTTTTGACTAGATGAAGGTTATGGCGTGTGTAGTGATTGAGATGGAAATACAATATCAGGTACCGTCACACAATGGAGCTCATCTTATCCATCTCTCTTCCAAACAGATGGAGTGTGTTTATTCCAGAGAGTTATGCAACACATGTTTCATGTTCTGGCACTTCTTAATGCCACATGTGTTCACATGTTCCTGACTGAAAACCAGATACATTTGAAGCACATTCTAATGCATTCTCCAACATTAATTTGAACTTTTCAATGCATACCCTCGCTAAATGACTGCATTAAATCATCATTACAATAAACACACCAACTCCATCCTTCTCTCCTGTAGCTGTGGAGTAGCCATCCATTTTGGGCCTCATTTGAAACTGAATCTTCATCTAAATCTTCACCTTATCGTTCAAAATTATGAGTGCTTTGCTAACAGTTACAGACGATTAATCGACTCTGAAGTTTATACTATGACTTAGAACTAATGGCTTTTTGAAGAGGCTCCTTCCAACCAGCCATTCTTCATTTCTGCTGGGCCATGACAGGCCTGCTGGCTCTGTGTAAACATGGGCATGTGCATGGAGCGTTCTGATGAATTATAGGGGAGCAGAAGCTCTCTGCCTCTCCAAAACATCAGGCACACAGTTCAGAGGTAACAGAGCAGGGTTTACTACCCCTGGCTCTGAAGGCCTAACTGCCTCTTTACGGAGGGGGAGATTACCCGGGATCAAACGGGAATTTCAATGTGAATATATCAGAAAGATACATCATTTTTATGCCACTAAACCACAGGCTGAAAAAAGATGTGAGTACATACCGGGCTGCCTTTGGGACCAGGAGGACCCTGCAAACACAGGTAATATAGTAATGAGCCCTCCAGCAAACCAGTCAAAAATCAAATTACCACAATTTTTCTGTTACCCCAGCTGTAGTCAATGAGTCAAGATAAGTTCTGCTTCTGTAAACTCTTTAGTATTGTGTTCGCTATGAGGCTGATGTCGATAACAAGAACTGGAAGCTTTTAGCCATCAGTTTAGCATTGTACAAACTGCATAAATCATCACATGCTTGTCTCAAACTGTGTTAAGTTGTTAAGTCATGTCAAACAGACTTGTTTAAGTGCTTTCTGACACTGTATGACATAGTCATCTATCATGATGCTAGACTGCAGACTATAAGCTTCCAATACTTGTTAGCTTCATTAGCTCCAGTGCAAATTTAAAGAAGCACATATTGTAGCAGGGTTAAATTCTGCACATTTATTAAATTGATTAACTGAAGCATTTATACAGATACAGAAAACCCATTTCCTGAATCATGGCTGCTTTAACAAGATAATAGTTTCGCTTAAACATGTGGCACAGTTGACCTATCCAAGCTCCATCCACTATGTTCTTTCATACAAACTGTGCTTGGAAAAGCTTTAAAGAATGCTGGCAAATACATCCCACTCAACCTGATAAGAAATTGAAGAGTACAACTTGTCAAAATACAATAAATTTACAGTGGATTATGCATTTCAAATTATATATATTTAGGTGAGAATAAGTCACTAAGCTGCAAGTAAGAGGTAAATCTCAGGTCTTGACACTCAAGTCCAAAGTAAAGACAGGCAAGTCCCAAGGTGTAACAAGTTAGCACATGTAATGCTATTTCTGAATGCTATTTTGTAAACACTGAACACCAAAAATGATAGTGACAGTAATGTAGTCTTTTTCATGATAGCATGTTAGTAGTAAACATACAGTTGTATGCAAAAGTTTAAACTTCTGCTCATATTACATGTTTCTGCACATTTTAATGCATGATTTAATTTACTTGCTAAGTTGAATAAATTGAAGAAAGAAAATACATACAAAATGTGACATAACTTTATACAGGCCACATGTATGTTTTAGTTTTTGTCTAATATCAAATTAAAATAAAACATTCATAGTTTCATTTTCATCATAATAATATAGTGCCACTCAGTAGAGCAGCATTTTAAACTTTTTAGCATTCTAATAGAAACAACATTATGTAACAGCTTTAAACTCTGATGAACACTATATGGCCAAAAGGTTGACACCCCTCTATTTTTGCATATTTATTGAGTTCAGGAGTTTCAGACACACCCCTTGTGAACAGGTGTATAATATCAATCTCCATAAACACAGACAGTGACTTTAAATGTGGAACGGTCATAGGATGTCACCTTTGCCACAAGTCCGTTTGTAAAATTCCTGCCCTGCTAGATCTGCACTGGTCAACTGTAAATGCAATTATCGTGAAATGGTTTTGAGGAACATCAACAGCTCAGCCACAAAATGGTAGACCACGCAAATTTCCAACTGCCCCTGAAAGCAACAACAGCACAAGAACTGTGCATTGGGAGCTTCATGAAATGGGTTTCCAAGGCCAAGCAGCTGCATACAAGGCTCAGACTTCTATGAGCCGTGCCAAGCATGGGCTGGAGTGGTGTAAAGTATGCCGACACTGGACTCTGGAGCAGTGGAAATGTCTGTCTGGCAGTCTGACAGATGAATGTTACCCGAACACATAGTGCCAACAGCAAAGTTTAGTGGAGGAGGATTAATATTTTGGGGTTTTTTTAGGAGATAATTTTTCAAAACTTCAGTGCCTGACAAATGTTCTTTTTACTGAATGGGCATGAAGGGGGTGGGAGAGGGGGCAACTCTATATTAATGCCCATGGTTTATAATGGGATGTCCAACAAACTCATAAAGATGTGATGGTCAAGTGTCCATAAACTTTTGGCCACATAGTGTAAATTCATCAGGTGGAACTGAACTTTTGCCAACATTCTGCAAAGAGCTTGTCCAACCCCGCAACAGTAGCTATGAAAGAACACATTTGTGGATGGAGCATGGATAGGTCAATTTAAGCCAGAGATCAATAGGGAACAGATAAGGGAAACACACCAAAGACTATAAACTGTCTGGCCTCTACTGTTCCCTGCTGTTATATGGTGGTGTAGGTTAAAGCTGTGTGACAGATGGGAGTACTTACAGGCTTACCATCCATACCCAGAGGACCCTGTGAGAGAGAAAAAATAGAGATAAAAAGATCCATCAGAGAATGACATGTGCTCAGAGGATCAGATGCATCAAGCTTTGAGGTCATCTCACAGCTATGAGTTGCAACAAAATGATGCCGAATCTCCCTTCTCAAAGTAATGAACTGTGAGAGTTTTTTGAAGAAGATATGGAGATATATATGTCACACAGGATTTATAATGACAGAGCGAAAGCAACAATGTTGTTAGAGGAGCTGGGGAAGTGGATGATTGAGAGGGAGAAAGAAACAAAAGAGACCTAGGCAGGGATGGAGGAAGAATGGAGAGGTAAAGTAGAGCCAAATCTGGGATGTAACTCATCTTCAGACAGCGCCTGCAAACCGATACAGATAGCATGAGCAAGAGACCAGTTCCAGACTGCCCCACAACACATATGCTGGATCACCTCAGTTAACAAAAGCTCAATTCATCATTTCAGACTCAGGCATGCTCTTAATCCAGAGAGGTTGCTGTCCACTCTACCAGCGGTGCTGAAACACCACTTAGTGACTCATAGCGATGACCTTGACTGTTATGAGTCAGCAAATGATCCTATCTGCTGTAAACTGACATCTAAAGCCATTTGAGGAGGCAGAGGAGTTTATGACTGAAAAAGGGCTTCTAATACAGCATACTGAGCAGTAGAGGAGTGGGATTACACAGAGCCATTTGAATTGTACAGAGGAACATTAACCCTAGCATAAAAGAGGCAACAGAAGTGGATGAATGCAGTGTTAGGAGTCTTGCCCAAGGACTCGTATTGTTATAGAATGGCGCACCTTCTACACTTAACCTACCATTATAACGTATCCAGTGTTGAGTCTTTTGAGCATTGATTCTTAGTGGTTCTTAGGGAGTTTTTGTTTGAGTCTCGGTTCCTCTCAGTGTTTCTTTCTCATGTTCTTACAGTTTCTCCTTTTGTATCTTAGTTCTTCTCAGTGGTTCATTTCAATGCTCTTAGGAAGTTTTTCTTTTTGAGTCTTGGATCCTCTGTTTTTTGTCCTTATGTTCTTAGAGAGTGGTTCCCTTCCATGTTTTGGTTCCTCTCAGTGTTTCTTCCTTATGTTCCTAGTTTGAGTCTTGGTTCCTCTTGATGGGTCTCATTCATCAGCTGTTCTTAAGAAGAAATTTCTTCTTAAAACCCACTTATGCAGTTTTCACGAAGATTCTGATTCACCAATGTTTTATTATTTGGGTTTGTTTTTTAGGTAAGAACAGAATCTAGACACACTCAATAACACAAAGGTGTGAACAATCCTGCGGTTTCAGAACACGTCATGGATCTCAAGAACACACTCAAGAAAAAAATTAGGAAGATATTGGTGAATGAGGCCCAGTTTTTTCTTCCCACTGCTCTCAGGAAGTTTTTTTCTTTTTCAGTCTTGGATCAGTTGTTTTTCTTTGTTCTTTGAGAGTTTTTTCTGTGTAGTCTTGGTTCCTGTTTTTCCTCATGCCCTTAGGGAATTTTCCCTTCCAATTTTTGGTTCCTCTTAGTGTATCGTACTCATGCTCTTATGGAGTTTTTCCTTTTGTGTCTTGGTTCCTCTCAGTCTTTCTTTCTCATGCTCCTAGGAAGCTGTTTCTTAGCTTGCTCATTAGAAGGTTGGACCCAGATTTCTTTAAAGCTGCTTTGTTACAACCTCCGTTGTAAACATTGCTATGAAATAAGAGCAGAATTTTTAAATTGAGTTGTGCTGCAGAGTTGAGAGCTTTGTCCTTTTGATCGAGGTGTTTCATAATATGCAAAGTCCACACATATAGCGATACCAATAACACAATCCACCACACTTTGAATAGCTATGACTAATCTGAGACATAAACGTGTGGAAAAGTGTTTCAAAACAACAGAAAAGCACACTTCTCCCAGCTGCATTGCACAGCTTCCACATCTGAGCCACTGGTGTGTGGTTGCCAAACCTGTGAGGGCAGGCGAGAAAGTGTAAGGGAGAGTAAGAGAGGGAGAAAAAGAAAGGGAAAGAGCGAGGTTGCAGATGTGCAGACTCAGGCCGAGCAGGAGCGATGGACGGTGTGTTTTGTGATGATTTGACTGAGAGAGAGCTGGAAGTCCACATGTGGCCGAGTGCCGAGCACGCTGCACTCTGGACTGGTTCCGATGTTATGCTTGGAGGGACTTCACACGGTCGAGTGTTTCCATGTTGATATTACAACAGCACGGGGGCTGCCAAAGCATGCAACCAATCGCATCTGGAGCACTCGTCCTGCGCAGCCTGAAAGGCTGCTTACAACTAACTCCTCTGCTAAAGGGTCGATGTATGCATGTGGCATTAGAAAGAACAGGCAGTCTTTGTGCAGTAGCTGCTGAGTGTGAATCTGAGGATGTGCCAAACCACATGGTCAGTAATTAGACTATTAACCATCAACCAAGATGTTTTGCTGATCGTACAAATTAAATTTGGCATTTTGGTTTCCTGTGGAGGGGGTTAAGTGTCTTGCAGTGGGCCACAACCAGGAATACCTAGTTGGTCTTGGGATTTGAACCCATGACCTTCCAGTTGTTGTCTTTCTTTGGTTGCTCATGCAGCCATCTTGCCGGTTTTTCTTTTTTTCTCATAACACTCTGTTTGGAGTAAGTCTCTGAAAAACCTCCATTTGGAGGGCCATGTAGCCCTAACACTTCACCCTACCCCTCTATCTCAAGAAAAATTAGGACACCCTTACCCTAGACGTGAACACGCAAAACAGAGGGCTAAGAGCTAAGTGGTAGGGGCAAGGGGTGAAATGGGATTGGGCCGAACAGTGCTGCTTTTTACTGTTATAAATGCTTTACTTATTACATACACTCTTAAAAAAGATGGTGCTTCAAGAGTTCTTTAGTAAGGAAAATGGTTATACTAACCCATAAACACTCAAAGAGCCCTTTGCATGGTTAATAGGTATTTTGCATCATCAAAGCGTTCTTCGGATTGATGGAAAATGTGCTGCAGATGGTTTTATAGAAAACCTTTTTGAAAATTGTTCTATATAGCACCCAAAGGGGTGTGGTGTCAAGTAACAATAGAAGAACCCTTTTGGGTGCTGTAAAGAACCATCTACAGCACAATAATGCACATTTTCCATCAATCTGAAGAACGTTTCATGATGCAAAGAACCCTTTAATCATACAATAGGTTCTTTGAGGGCTCATGGTTCTATATAGACCCATTTTCTTTACTATAGAACCCTTGAAGAACCATCTTTTTTAAGGTTGTACTTTATTTTGTGGTAAATCTAAGAAAAAACATTTGGGTCTATTTTGCCCCACAACACTCTGCAGGTACCACTCTGATACCATGATTAATTGCCATATATCTTTTAGTCTAGAAGCTAACACAAAGCGATCATAAAACAGTGCCTCCACCACTGTGCCCAATTCTGACTTGGTAAGTTTTTCCTAGAATGGCACATTTTACCACTGTGAATGACTTTGTTCACATCTTATTTAATTATGCAGAAATTTTGAAAAATTTCCCCTTAAAATGAGTGCAAAAGGGTTCTTTGGATCGCTGCCACAGAACAACAACTTTTGCCTCTCAAAAGAACGTTTCAATGAATACTCCTTGAAAGAGCCACTTTTCCAGAGGAACGTTTTTAAAGTTTAAAGAATCTCCACATAATACAAAGGTCCTATATCAATTAACATTAGTCAACTCTTGTGTGACCCATCATCACAATCACTTAAAGCAGGAAATCATGTAACATGGTCATCTAATGCCAAGCTGCAGCTAAAATGCACCCCAATTTATGATAATGAGTATAGTTTTGAAATGGATTCGTGAAGAAGCAATTTCTTTACAAGCAAGGATGACAGAACATGGTGCTTTGTTTCAATTTGATTGTTCTGCTAATACTGAGTGCATTACTATTTGGGTTTGTGCCAGGTGAAAATGAATAATAATCCTGCGCCACTCAGCCTCAGGAGTGCTATGCGGCTTTCATACATTTGCAAAACATCCAACTCTACATGTTCTTTGGCAAATGATACTAAGCCAAGAGACATGCTGATCATCAAAAGCCTTTTTGATCAGGTGCTGCTTTTTCACCGCTTTACTGATCAGCATGAACAGGTCATTGTATGGAAGACACCTGAACAGCCACGTAATCTCCAGTAGGTGGTGCTGTATGACACCTAAAGCTAGTTATAACCTCTCGCTGTTGAGCTCTAGAAGTATCAAAGGCACAGAGCGGTCTGGAAGCAGTTGGTCAGTGAAAAGAATTAGAGGGATATTTACCGGGTAGCCGTCCCGCCCTGGAGTGCCCTGTTAGGATTAACGAGAATAAAACAACATCAAATCTGGATTAGGATTAAGTGCACACATCACTGTTGTCTCTAAATGAGTTTTTAAAAAATGAGCCCATAGAGAAAGTGCAGCTGTTAGAATTGAGGCTCAACAGATAAAAGCAACATGATATAGTAAATATTTAAGAACATGCAATGCACACTTGGAAACTCCATTATCTGCTTCATGGCAAAGTCTTTGGCTTTTCATATTCAGAAGGCAGTCATGTTAATGACTAGTGGGAAAAGAACTGAATGGACATTTTCATTTTTGTGCTGCTAATCATGATGCAACACCAACATTAAAAGCCTGTTGTGATGCAACGTTGTGAATATGTACATTGAATGTTTGAGCACTGGGCTTTAACTGAAAGGACACATATACAAGTTTGTACTTCTATCTTTGTGCAGTGTTTATATTATCTTCAGTACTTTGCCTCCACTAATTTTGTTGTTTGGGACATTATTGTCCTGAAAATACATAGAATTCACTGAACAGGAAGCAAGAGAGAACCTCTGCCCAGTCCTACTCAAGCGGCCGGTCATACCATTCCACTCCACTCTAAAGATTACCATGGAGTGGAATGGTATGGCTAAGACCACATTAGCTCACACAAAATAGCAAAAATGACATGTACACACTTAACTAGCAACAAAACGTGAACAACAATAAATGTCCAGGCACCTCTCTGCATGGCTGTTTTGCTTGGCCATGTCTCCCGCACCTCTATGACAGCGTGGCGGGATGCTTCACTATTAATGCATGCTTAAGACTAACCGAAACCAAACAGCAATTAAAAAGTAAAATTACAATCATGATAAAAACAAAAACTCAAACTAACTATAAAAACCCTGCAAACAAGACTAGTGTGTTCTCTTTAATTCTCAATTGTCCAAAGTACAATGGATAACAAATGAAAAAAAATACATGCTAGCTAGCAAAAGCCACATTTAGCCCAAAATTCCTCATGCTTGTCCCCAGACATTCTCATTACAAGATCATGTCTGGACCGGCGACACTACCAAACACCGGAAAGCATCTACGCTACTCCCCACACACCTGTCCAATGGCAGTTCAGTTGCTGTAAAACCTTTGTTATGTGTGAAAGAGTCGTAAGAACGTGGGAGCTATAAAGATATGTGCTTTTTAGTCCTGGCTCTTTTAACTGCTGCCAGTGTAAGACAGGCAGTGGAGCCAGACTAAGGCTGTCCGAATGCCAATCAGAGCAGAGGAACATACAGAGAAAGTGATACAAAATCTGTTCAGTGGATCCATCCTCCAGATGCCATTCCCTCTTATCTTACCTCGGTTATGCCCCACATCATATCTGCGTTAGCTAGCACATGGCACTGTGGTGGGAATTGTGCCACGGCTGCCCATGGCCCGACTCACACACATTTGTTCTGCATTAACCTCCCACAGATAACACGGGTACTTACTGGAGTTCCTGAAAACACAAACACAAACAAACAGTCCAGCGTAAACTGTTGATGAAAGTATTATCAGACACTGTTCTCAGAAATGCTCAACCCAAACCTTTGTTCTTGTGCCAGCTGACTAGTCAGGTGTAATTGAGTCACGCTCAACATTATTTTCATCATTAAAATAATCGTTCAACAAAAAAATCTAATTTACACAAATTCCCCCCATATATCAAATGTAGTTGGAGGGGCCAAGCTGTTTGATGTCAGAAGTTTTGCACTGGAGCCGTGAGGCTTATGTAACTAATGAACTAAGCAAACAATTCAGTATATCCCAATAACAAAATCTTGCAAATTTGATTATAAAGTGGAAGCTATGATTTTCAATTAGTATATGTAACTTCTCTCAAAATGCATGCACAAGTCCAGTACAACACTGATGCTAAGCTTACCACGTGTGAGAATGCCCACTGCTGAGGAAACTGTTCAGTTTCATCATCCCTCTAAGAAGTTCAGTAATGCTAAAATTAATAATTGATCATCACATTGATTTATCAGTCTACTCAGGCTTCAGCAGAGCACAGTAACACAGATAAACCAATGTGACAAGCCAGCTGTTTATTTCAGTCTTCTCAGGCTTTAGCAGAGTTCAGTAAGACTGAGATTAATAAGTGATCTTCACAGTGATTTATCAGTCTACTCAGGCTTTAGCAGAGTTCAGTAAGACTGAGATTAATAAGTGATCTTCACAGTGATTTATCAGTCTACTCAGGCTTTAGCAGAGTTCAGTAAGACTGAGATTAATAAGTGATCTTCACAGTGATTTATCAGTCTACTCAGGCTTTAGCAGAGTTCAGTAAGACTGAGATTAATAAATGATAATCACAGTGATTTATGAGTCTACTCAGGCTTTAGCAGGAATTTCAGTGTTGGTAAAGAAATCTTTAGAGTATGTTTTTACACACCATGTGCTGATTTTAAAATGGTAAATAATCCATCATTGATGGTATTTCTTTTAAAGATGGTATATATTTTTTAATTTAGTGGGTATTCTAGAAGTATTCTCATAATAATGTGAGAACTAAATGTATTCTGAACACTGTCTTTAAAAATAGTAACTTGCACTGAATATATATACTTAATTTCTGTATTCTAAAAATTTGTTTTCAAATACTTGTATTCCGTTACATCCCAACCCTAGTCACACTTGACCCTGCTAGAAAAACCAGCACAGTCCAGCAGGACTGGTCCCCAGCAAAACCAGCTTATGCTTTGGATACCCATATTGTGGTCAACCAGCATGACCATGCTGGGTGACCAGCTGAGCCAGCACCAGACCAGCACCAGACCAGCATATAACAGCTTAGCTTAGTCTATGCTGTCTTTTTTTCCATCATAAATCACATTACTTTAAAATTGACTAAAACAGCTGGATTAGCTGTTATGCTAGCTAGCTAGAATACAAAACCTGCTGCTAAAACAAGACTAAGCTACTGTTCTTTACTGAAGACTCAAGACTCAACTTGCAATCACATCTCAGACACTTGACACTCGATTTAGACTTGTAAACAGCTCCTCTGACTGAATCTTGCCTATAAAAATGGACAAAAGCATACTGCATGGCTAAAACATTAGAAGCAGGTATCTTGAAGTATGAATTTTGTTTATATTTTCATCCCTTTTATCTATTTCAGAAAATGTAGATGAGCTTGCTGAAAAACTTGACAAAGTGGACGTATGTGTAGGCACGCAGTTTGCACAATGCTAATTGGTGGGACATAAGCTTCCATTACTTGTTAGCTATATTGGCCTCATGGCTTCAGTTTAAATCTAAAAAAGCAAACAGACACCAAACATGTCTTGACTGATTGACTACATTTGGGTAAATTGGGAGTAAATTGGGTAAATTTGTTTTTTTTCCCCCAAAACTACTGCTTTAAGTCTCCTTCTGAACACATGAAAATCAAAAGAGCTGTCTGTGGCTTTGAGCGGTTTCGATCTGCTGTCTTCACTTTAACTGATGAAAGGTGATACTGGGATTCAGACCAAGACTGCCAGCTAGCGTTCTCATACAATAATGATAAGTGACAGACATTGGATAAGTAAACGCAGCATATGCAACAGTTCACTGCAATGAGGAGATCTTCATATGGATTTTCAATATTCAGAGGAATAAAACTCTCCTCAGATAAACTCCATCAGGTCTGTCCTGATCATTATCTGTCATCCTACCAGAGGGCACAGATATTCATGTTTAATGACAATGCTCAGAAGAGACCAATGGATTTCAGCAACGTTCAGAGAAGAGTTCCTTTAAATCAGAGGCATCCGCTAAATTGAACACAGCCACTGAGAAAATGTGAAGCATTCCAACAGTGTGGAAACAATCTTGGTGGGCAGGAGATCAGTGCTGCGTAGTAAAAAACGGAACATTTTATGTGATTCTCCACAAGTCTGTTACCATCAGCCCTCGTTTAACAATGAGTAAATTTGGTTTGCGGCCTGCAGTTTCACAAAGCCTTTTTCAGTGGATAATACATCAGTTGATGCAGAAGCTAACTTCTCTTGGCATCGCTTTAATAAGTTTACAATATTGTAAGTGTCATAGGCTTTCAGAAAAATATGTCGGCTATTACTTCCCACGACTGCTGCATAGTTTCCTTTGCCCCTGTCCATTAAATTGAATGTAATGTATTGAGTGGTCACTGGCGATGCTAAGATGGCTCCAGAGATGTGATAGCAGGGGAATGTGACAGTAAATGGAGCTGGAGACTCATGCTGAGGTGGGAGGGTCCTGAGCGGTCCTGGACAGGATCAGAGCAGAGTGTAAACAAACGAGAAACTCCTACACACAGCCAAACTGATAAGAGCTCTTTTCCTCTTTTGAGGGGTCTTCTGTCACACGGCCACGAGAGAAACCCGATCCATCTCTGTCAGCAAGAAGAGAGAGAGGAAAGGATGGGGAGAGAAATAGATAAATAGATAGAGACAGAGAGGGACAGTGAGGGAAAAAAAATGGATGAAAGAAATGGTAAAGAAGAGAGGAAGAGAGAGAGTGAGAGAGAGGGAGATTGAAGAAGAGAGAGAAAAAGAGGGTGAAAGAAGTAGAGTGAGGAAAAGAGAGAAAGAGTGATAGAGACTGATAAAGTGAAGGGGGGACAGAGCAGAAAAAGAAAAAGTAGAGAGAGTAGAGAGAGAAATAGTGAAAGACAGAAAGAGATAGAGACTTACAGAGAGATAGAGAGAGCGGGAGAGACCAGCAGGACCCCACTGTGTCAGTTGGGTCAGTCTTGGACTGCTGGGGGAGTGTTTTATTGACAGCAGTGTGTGTATGAGTTTTGGAGTGTGTGGACTGTTTTAGTTTTCCCATCATCCTCATCATGAGCCAAAGTTATCAAACAGAGAACAAAGATACAGTTCTTCTTCTCATGTCTCCATAGGTGTGTGTCTGTAAGTGTCTATGTGTTCTTTGTTGATGACTCCTTGTAGTTCTCTGTAGCTCAGCAGTGTTTCTGATGTCTACTCTAGATGTCTAATCTAGATCAACAGAGTTATGAGCTGTTGTATTTGGTGTGGCAGGCCCTGCACTACAGTCATTCTCAGACCTGGAGTTCTGCAGTACCCCTGCTCTGCATGTTTTATTGTTTTCCCTGCTCTAACACACCCACTGCAACCTAGTAAGAGCTCGTTAATTAGCTTATTAGTGGAATCAAGATATTAGAGCAGGAAACACATTAAAATATGCAGAGTTGGGAAATGCAGATGTCATACACTCAGAGGGCGGTGGAAGAGCAGAGACCCATACTCTATGATAGTAGGCCAGTACAGTCTCATTACTTTGTTGAAACAATGACTCAAGTACCCTACACCCCTAAAAGAAGTTCTTCAAGGGTTCTTTAGTAAAGGCAATGGTTATAGTGTATATAGAACTTTGAACAAATGCTTAAAGAACCATTTAAATGCTTTGATGGTGATTTGACAAGTTAAGATTGCTAATCATTTTCACTCAATCTGATATAAATATATTAGTAATTTTGTTAGTTTTGCTGGAATTTTTCATTTTTTGCAACTGGAATCACTTTTTTTACTTCTAAAACTTTCTTTTGCTTGTGACTTTTGGCCCATTTTCATGGGTGGGTGGGTCTTCTGAAAATGTAGCCACACCCACTCAGTGAGCCGTGATCTGCCTCTGTGAAAGCACAACTTAACTGATTGATTTTTAGCTGTTTTTCGTTTCTTGATTTTTTGGGGGGAGTCTGGACACACTGTGCTATGCCCCTGTCTATCAGCATAAAAGTAGGAGACATTTAGACACTATTGTTTTCTGTTTGAGATCTGCATGGTTTAGAATAAAATGCTAAAGCTTAAGAAATGAAAGTGAGTAGCAGCAAAGCAGACCCAATAGAGCATAATGAAATCAAACACAAACAAGTAATTGCTTGCTAAATTAAGTACAACATAGATTACTTTCCACACAAATAATATTGAGTAGAAATAAAAGTATTATTATTCAGAAATACTAAGCAAATCCAGCATAAATGATCTCATGTAACTGAGTAAATGTAACTGAGTAAACTGCTCACTTCTGTCTGTACTGTACCTACGAATGTAAGTGCTAAGCATGAAGATGAGTGTAGTGGATCAGGGCCTGACAGCACCAACAGTCCACACTTAATATACAGTGGACCACCACATAAGAGGGCTGACAGCAACTATAACAGGCCAGTGATTTAGTAGAACCACTATTCACCCTCAAATGAATCAGCAGTGAGATGAAACACGGTACATTTGGAACCAAGATATGGAAAGAAGAGCTACTGTCTGGCAAGCCGAGTGATAATAATGGAGTGCACTTTGATCTGATACTCTTAATGGAGGTATAAAAACTGAGCCAGTCAGATGCGAGTGTCCTGCCAAATTTTGAAGCTTATCTCAAAAATGAAATAGTGAAGTATATGACCTTTGTGGAAGACCAGGATTTTTGTCTTTGGTTTGCATTCATCATTCAGAGATTATCCAGACTGGGTCTAAAACCTTCAGTATCAGGGGTCCCTAATTGTGGGGAACCCATGTTCTGCATATTTTTGTGTTTTTTCTGGGTGGTTTTGGTTTTCTCTGCTCTACCACACTCATAGATGGCATGGTAATTACACTGGAGGTCAAAAAGAATTGCTCAGATGCACATAAGTCATTTGATGCAAATGCGTTTGATGTGTTTGAAGGGTTCTCTTAAGCAGGCAAACCACAAAAAATGACTGGATATTCCAAACAAGACAATGCAAGATTCCACTGCTTGTCAAGACGATGACGTGGCCAACACAGTCAGATTTAAATGTCCTATTGAGAACTTGTGGAACAATGTTGGGAGATGTGTGGAGAAGCAAAAAATACAGTGGTCTGTGGAGAGTACAAATAATTGCAAGATGACATAAGACTGCAGGATTTTATGAAATAAATGACATTGCATTGATATAAGGGGCCTAAAACTAAAGTGAAGCACACCTGTTCCATTTATAGCACTATAGTTATGAGGCATTGTTCCCAACTTGATTGATGGCCTAAGCTGTTCTTATACTCAAGTATTGGTTTATGAATGTTATTTAATCCGTATGCCTGTGTTATGCAGAGGGGGACCTAGAAACACGGATAAACTTCTCATAGAGGCCACTTTTTCATCGCTTGGTGTATATCAGTGATCATTATTAAACCATCATTATTAAAAGCAATATTCAGAACATGGGCTTCTCAGGACCGAATGTGGGAGCCGATCTTATTTAGTGGAAAGTAAAGGCCAATTTGGTTCAAAGGTGAGACAATTTCTAAAATGACTGAAGATCTTATTAGGCAGTGGAAAGAAACTAAGCCGCAACCATTACTACAGTAAGGCAGTGTCTGACTGTTAATAACCAACAATAGGAAAATGAAGTATGTTAAGTTGTCTCTGGATAACACGCTACTGGTTTGCCGCAGCATGCTCATGAATGCTTCAAAATTCTTCATTGTCATAGATACCATAGCACTGACAAAATGGAAGCAACTTCTGGTTCTCAAGGTTAAGTGAACGCCACTAAAGCAAACAGCATGCTTGGGGAATTTGCTAGAACCTCATATTGACCCCATAGAGACAATAGAAATGTTAGCGTAGCCACAGGAAGATTTTCCAAAACCACATTACAGACGTGGGCATTTCCATCTGTTCAGTGCTGCATCAAAGACATACAAAACTAAACATGACTAAAAACACATGACGGAAAAGAGACTGGAACACCTAAGAGAACATTGAACATCCTTCACATCACCGACAGGTCAAGAAAGGGGAGACGTTACATGGAAGAAGTTTGGAACACAGCTGAAATCACTCAAGGATCCTTTAGTATAAGTCTTTTTGTAGGTATCTTTCAAACAAGGAATTGTGTATAATTCTTCCTCTAAATGTATGTGGATGAATGAGTGGTAATGACTGAAAAAGTCATTAACTCACAGCTGTTCAATGTCAGCCTCCACATTGAGCCGTACACAATGAATGTCAATGCAGAAAATCTGTTTGCCTTTTCCTCGCATTAATAGACGGATTAATTGGGTTCATGGTGGAGAAAGGAAATGGATACTCACCAGGATTGCCTTTCTTGCCCCGCCTTCCTGGCGGTCCTGCGAAGAGAAACAGATAGAGAGAAATTTATTACCAATCCGTGGCCTGGAGAGCAGGAAATAGGCCACTATTATCCACAATTTTTAAAATATATCTTAAATGTTATGGTTGGTCGCGTGCAGGCCTTTGAGAGTGCTTCTGATAAATAAGCACTGTAGGAAGGAAATGTATGTCTTATCATTCAGGTGCTTTAATACAGTTCTTTTATAAAATCTGTTGCAGCTGTAGGGGATGTACACATTCCTTCATTGCTTTTTTTCTTGAGCCCTGAGAATGAAACAAATACAGCTGTGCTCTGTAATACCTCACTGACCTATTATTGCTGTAGTAACCACACCTACATCCCTTAAGCTAAACGGTACATTTCAGAGGCTTAGGAATTCGTCTGAGGCTACAAATAAACCACACATCATATCAGATCTGCTGCATGGCAGGCTTCTAATGAGCTGCTAGCAGGCATATAAATCTCTGACAACATAACAAATAGATTCAGTTACAGTGCAAAGCATGATGAATCTTAAATTTCACCATGATTCTACTGGAGTGTGATTCTTTAGGAAACGATTCAAAGTATAATGAATCTTGAATTTCACCATCATTCAACTGGAGTATGATTCTCTAAGAAACGATTCAAAATATAATGAATCTTAAATTTCACCATGATTCAATTTGACTATGATTCTTTTGGACAATGATTGAATTCAATTATGATTCCTTAGGAAACGATTCAGCATAATGAATCTTAAATTTCACACTGATTGAATTTGAGTATAATTTGTTAACCCCTGAAATGACCAGGGCCCAAATTTTACTGCACACTTCTATAATCTAAGAATAGCTCAGCCAGTTTGCATTGAAGTCCCTGTAGTTATGTGAACCTTAAATTTCACCATGACTGTATTTGATTATGATTCCTTAGGAAATTATTCAAAGCATCACAAATCTTAAATTTTACAATGATTTGACACAATTATGATTTTTTTTCTAAAACAACTAAATGAATCACCATGACTCAATTATGATTCTTTAGAAAATGACTCAAAGCATGAATTTCTCCATGATTCAAATCGGTTGGCTTATGAGTCTTTAGGAAACTGTTCAGTGGATCATAGAAATTTTGTTTAAATCAGTTAATTTGGTACTTTTTATTATTACAAAAGTTTCTATAGCTAAAATACTTTACATTTTTGGCTGATTAATGCCAAAAAAGCACATACTTATTGAACACTATTATCATTCCAAAATGCAGTTCAGTCACCACCCTCTGGAAGATTTCACAATGCATTTTTCTGACAAACCAAACTGGACTTACATAAGCAGCTCTAAATTGATAACAGGGGCTAACGCTGTGCCATGTGTAACTGCTGTGTCCACTATGTCTACTCAGTGGCCCTGACACACCCTAGCGTGTGAGAAAAATGGCACATCCAGGTCCACGCTGGCTGATTACACTTGGGAGAGCTTCCTGAGAAGTGTCCTCAGTGCAGATTAAAGTGCTGGGAAAAGGATCCTTCTAACAGCTACAAGGAAATCCAGTGAAACCCGTTCACACTGTCCTCCATCTGCAGCCCCACAGGAGCCAAGAATGACATCATATGAGCTCAGCCAAACAAACACAGCCATCCACACCAGCACTCACCCTGCTGACCGCAAACTGACTGAGCCGGATCAGAGAGGGTATGGAGTACTGAGAGCTGCCAGTCAGGCTAAACTGAGCAGACATGTGTTCTGTACAGTATGTTCTCAATGTATACAGGCAGTATGACTTATAAAAGACTAAGAAGGAAGTCAAAGGTGTAGATAGTTAAAGGAGAATTCCAATGAATGAGAGACTGAGATTTAAACAAACTTCTTTAAAGTGGTTTGAGGTGAAATAGTTAATTGTAGAGAAACATATTGATATTTCTTTACAATGTTGGTGATGGGAACCATGGGTTGTCATGTCTACAAGCCATTTTGTTTGCTATTCAAAACTATCAGTGAACCCACATGTGTCTTCTGAGTTTTTATATGCAATGCTGATCATGGTATAGTAGTGGTATATCAGAAAAATATGTTTCTTTTGGCTTAGAACATCAGGCTGAAACCTTCTCAAAACAATTATAAAACAATGTCTCACACATGAGGCTGTATATTCATAACCATTTCATATCATAAACTTCTGTAAGATTGGACTCTTCTGATGTCTGGTTCCTATCACCACCACTGTGATCAATTCTGACTCTGTAAGTTTATCTAGAACAAAGCTTTTCACACCAAACCACTCTGAAGGACTTTGTTTACATCTTATCCATTTAATTATGCAGATTTTTAAAAATAATTAATAAAATTCCATTTTAAGATTTATTTTAGGATGAAACTACTGAGCTGATAGTACACTGAAATTCAGGTTCTAATTTTAAACCCTGCACGATATGATTATGTGACTATTTCCAGGCAAAATTCAGAACTGTCTATTATAAGTCTATTAACCTTTTAAACTCTAAGAGCCCATCAGCAGATCCTGGTGTTCCCTCCTCTCTCTTATAACTACATAACTTATATATTAGTTTCATAGTACACTCTTAAATGTAACAGTACCAAAAAGGGTTCTTCAGAGCAAAGCTTTAGCAGAAGCATTTTTGGTTCCCTAAAGAACCTTTCAATGGACGGTTCAAATGGTTCAAACCTTTCAAATGTTCCGGTGGACCATTTTTGTAAATGAGATGTGCGAGTGTGAAGAGCCTTTTCAAAGTACCTCCATATTCTTGGAAATAAGGGTGCCAAAAAGGGTTCTTTGGGGCAGCACCATAGAACACTCACTCTGTGTTTTTTTTAAACTACTTTTATAAATGAGATCGTAAAGAATCATTTAAAAATTTGAAGAACTTCCAAACAATGTACCAATTAAAGGGTTCTGAGAGTAGAACTACACATGCAAGCCCAGAACCATTTAGGAATATTTGTTTATAAAAGCATAATGTAAAGGTTATATACCAATTTCTATAGCAGTGTTTCTTAGCTTGGACATGTGGTTCTACACACTTACAAAGATGATTCTTCAAGGGTTCTTTGGTATAAAAAATTGCCCTATTTATAACTATGAGTTCTAGATAGAACCATTTCTATGCATGGTGAAATGGTTCTTCAGATTGAGAAAGAATTTGTTATAAATGTTTCTAAATAGAACCTTTTTGAAAATGGCAAAAAGGATTTTTCTATTGTTACAGGTTTGACATCTTAACAATAGCAGAACCCTTTTTAGTGCTTCATAGAACCATTTTCAAAAAGGTTCAATATGGAACCATACACAACACATTCTCTGTGAATCTGAAGAACCATTTCACCATGCAAAGAACCATTAAGCATGGGAATGGGTCTATATAGCACTCATGGTTCTAAATAGAACCATTTCCTTTATTAAGGGAAGAACCACCGTTTTAAGTGTGTAAGAAAAAAACCTGGTTGAAAATTGTTGTATTATGTTTACATTACACTTTTAAAAGCATACATCCAGGCCAAGATCCATTTAGGAACCTCTGTTTTTACGAGTTTTAAGGTTTCATAACAATTTTAAACCATAAACGACTTGTTCAAGCCAAGACCCATTTAAGAAGCCGTTCTTATGAGTGTACTTACGGAATAATGTAGAGTAGTTACTAGATAATAAGCCTTCAGTTTAAAAGCTATAATAATAAGTCTAGAACTGAAAAGGTCAAGCACTCTAAATAAACGTGGATAATATCAAGAGTCATAAGTGGTGCCTTGTGAGGACTTGCTGAATTCCTTGTTGCTTATTCCTTACTCAAAGAGTGCGTCCACTTCTTACCTCAGTGCCCTGTATCATCAGTGACCACATGGACAGCAGTCTGCCCTATTACCCAACACACTGAGACAGAAACAAGCATCCGTGGTGGACACAGTCCACATAACTGAAAACAAGCCTGCGTCCAGCACCTTTAGTTCTTACAAGTTCAAGAGAGCACAGACTTCCACCACACTCAAGATGAATCACCTTCAGCAAAGATACAGTGTGCAAATATACCGTGTGTGACCATGTCCATCTCCCTGAAAAGATGTGCTAAGAACTTACATACAACCTTTAATCCTTTGACCGTTAGAAGTCACAGTTATCTCATCGGCCATATCGAGACAAATGGGAAAAGAGAGTCAGAAGTGCAGATTTGAGCCTGTGGGTACAAAATGTAATTGGAACGTAATGTATGTAAATGGAATTAAGGTAATCACCATGTAATTAAATATGTAATTAAGTAATTACACATGAATAGTATGGCAAAAAAGTAATAACTTATATAGGTTGAACTCTATTAATTCGTTTTTTGGGATCCAGCCATTTTTTCATCATTATTTACAAATTAGTTCATAGTAGCTACAGAACAGTATGTAACTGTTACCAAATAATAAGCCTTAAGATTAACTAGAAAAGGAAAGTTGGTGAACATACTTTAAGTTATTTAAGTGAACTTATTACTTTAAGTTGGCTTAGCAAAGGCAGTTAATAATGTTTAAGAAGTTAAAGCAGTTGCAGAATACTGTCAATTGTTTTTGATAAAGAGGTTGCTATGGTATTACAGGATGTTGTTAGCACACTGCTTTGTGGTTAGTAGGCAGTTGCTAAGGTGTTGCTAGGCTGTTGCTATCCCAGGTGGTTGTTAAGGTGGTTGCAAAGGTGTTGCTAGGCTGTTCCTAGCATACTTGTATGATAGTGATATAAGAGGAGTGTCCAAAGATATTTGTCTACAGAGTGTATACTGGCAGTAGTGGAAAAAGAGGTAGAGATATTGACATTATCTTTTACACCAATATAATGTTAGTGTGTGTTGTGCTGGTCTGAGTGGATCAGACACAGCAGTACTGCTGGAGTTTTTAAACACCTCAGTGTCACTGCTGGACTGAGAATAGTCCACCAACCAAAAATATCCAGCCAACACTGTCCTGTGGGCAGCGTCCTGTGACCACTGATGGACTGAAGGACTAGAGGATGACCAACACAAACTGT